AGTTTTTATATACAATCAGGATGGACTGGTCGTCCGGGTGCATCTGCACCGGCACCGGCACCGGCAAGAATCAATCCTGATAAAGGACGTCTGCTAAACGAAAAGCTCGCGACGACGACGCATGAAAGATCCGGAATCCGACGATCCCGCTGTCCGCACCTTCATCCGCTTGGCACTCTCCACGCTGGAGGAGTTACTGCTACCTTGGGTTTGTCCAAGGATTGCCCACTCAGCGACGGTGGCACCGGTTCCATTCTTCGCCTGGATGTCTGCCGCGTCCAAGGCCTGGTTTCCTACAATAAGGAGAGACGCAAACTTGGCAGCGGGAATGGCGGAAGGCAGGGTGACATTAGTAGTGTTTCCGATAGGCAAGGCGATGGCATCCAGGTTCGTCGTGTTCGCATTGTACGGGTCCGAGAGGTTGACATTGTTGAGAGAAGAAATCACTTGGTAGTCCGAATCTTGGCTTCCCATTGTGATGTCCGCGTTGCCTAGGGTCTTGTTGTGGAAGACAATGGTCGCATTGACAGGTGGGGCCTGAGCCCAGTCAAAGTAAAAACCAGAGACTAGGGACCCTGCTTCCTTGCCAAATGACACCGTGATGGCGCTCACATTGTCTGCGAATGAAGGCTGCCACTTCGTCGAGGTGGCACCGTCGTTCACCGAGACGGGGAATTGGCCAGGTTCGTAGGCACTTTCCGACTGGGCAGACTGGCACTGCACGAGATTTCCCTCCACAGTATTCTTGAGGCCGATTTGGCGGTTCTCCAGAACGACCGAACCTTGCAACTGGAGGTTGTGAACAGTGATGTCGTCGTCGGAGCCCGCGTGGATGGGAATGGTCTTGTTGGAGAAGCGTAGGTCTGCAGTTTCCAGAGGCGCCGAGTTGGATCGGCTGATCGTGGTGTGCGTCTGGTTAGACCAAGCGGAGATTGGCCATCCACGCCAGTAGAATGTGCGATACTTCAAGTGAGGGATCTGCGGTGGGAGATTAGGGTCAACGCGCAGGAAGTCCTCAGGCAGCAAGCGAAGTCCCAGGTACCCGAAGATGGCCACTTGATTAGCTCCACCATGTCCTGTCAGGAAAGGGAAGGCAGGGTGGGTGCCACCGTTGATAGTGGAATCGTCGATGAGCTGTTCGGACATTTGGTAGAAGGGCGCACGAGTATAGGGGCGGAAGGAATACAGCCCATATGTGTAAGCCGAGCAACCTGAGGGCGACATCTCATTCGCAACAGCAGAGAAAATGGCCCAAGTCATCGCCGGTCCGTCAGGAGATTGCTTATTGGCATACTGTGAAAGTCAGCATCAATTCTGCCATGTGCCAGATTATCTTTTGGGATGAACTCACATAGTCAAGATCATTCAGTGAGTCTTGAGCACTGTAGTTCGCAGTGAAATCCAGAGGGAAGGTGTTTAGAACCACATCAGCCTGCTTCACAGCGGCACTTCCATTCATAGTCGTGAATTCAAGGGTCACTCCACCTTCGCGGAGAATTAAAACGTTGTCAGCAATGTCGTCCCAGGTGGAGTTTTCTTCGAGTCCAAATTGCTGGCGGAAAGCGTTTGCATGTCGTAAAGTTTCAGCGATGGCCGGCATAGTGAAGCCGCCCGCATCAACATGGTTAGCATACTCGTCCTGAAAGATGTTAGTTTGGGTTGTCATTTAATTAATGCGCATGTGGAAGGAGCGCCATACTGGGTCAGTCATATTGGTCAGAGTCCAAGAAGACCCATTCTGTACCATCAGATCGGTAAAGAGAGTGGCCACAGAGTCGTAAATAGGGAAATGATTCTCCTTGAAGAACTTGGTATCACCACTAGTAACCCACTCATTGACCATGGAGATTCCGATGTCGATGTTTAGATGATACTGATAATCTGGATTGGGGTTAGAATTCGAGGTCATGGCTTTCGATATCGGGTCTCATAACTTACCCCAACAAGGGCCAGTGGCCGTGCAGTTACCAAATCGCCCACTTGTCCAGGGATAGATGGCGGCGGAGGGTGAGAAGCTGGTCTTGTTCTTGGAGCCCGCGTATGCAGTCTTGATGTTCGCCTGTGCCTGTGCATATCTATCCAGACGGTAGTTGGTAATCCGCTGAGCAGCTTCGGGGTGCGATGTCGTGAGACCTGGCTGCTGCCAGACGTCAGCGTCCCAGAAAACCTGTCCGGCTTTGGTGAGTGTTAGCCTAATGATTCTAACTTGGTCTTGGTTACCAACGGGCTCATACCGTACGAGTCGGAGGTCAAACCACCGACGGAAATGCTATCCCGGTTGAGCGCAGTGTTGTTTGCTTGCTTGATGGCATTCTTGCCAACGGTGTTTTGCAGCAAATAGTATGTATTGGCCACTGAAATAATCTGGGTGTCGATTAAATTGATGTCCGCGGGGAGAGATCCATTTCCGGGGAGCGTATATTGATCGACGGAGTCATCCGGCATAACGCTTGCCCACTCGGTCACGTGCGCGCGAAGTGACTTGGCCCATCCATTCTGAATTGCAGTAGAGCAAGCGTCCTTGGCCACCGTCTTCGGGTCCGCAAAAGCATCGGTTGATGCTACGCCGACGAACTTGGTCACTCTCACGGATTGACCAGCCTTGAATGTCACATCAACAGACTGTGCGATGGAGGAATCATTTTTGCTGAGATATGGGGCATCGTTGACCACTTGCAGCGTTGACAGGTCGACGCCAGAAGTTCCGGTAACATTGGCATAGACGTAGGCAGTGACGTTGCTGATCCCGTTCGGTCGCACGGATGAGAAAATGGCATGATCGTCCTGGTCTGCTTCCACGAAATCTGAACGCACAGCGGCGATGCCATCAAGGACATTCACGACAGTTCCATTGGAGTCCTTGGAAGCAACTACCTCTAAATCCACCACGGCCTGATTAACGTAGAGCTTGTTGGTGAATAGACGGTAGTTGATCTGGAAAGACCCCTTATCACCCTCCGGAGTCCAGTTATACGACCAAGTGAGAAGACCCGCCTTGAAATCGTAGGTGGAGCGGAAGTTGGAGATCGTGGAGTTACCCACTGTCGCATCCAGGAAGGTACCATCGCCGAGGTCAATAATAAGGCCACTCCAGTGAGGAATACCGCTGATCACACTATCGTAGCCATACTGGGACAGCCAAGGGAAGTTTGAGGAATTTGTATTTGCCTGGGAGTCGAAGAACCCACTGACGGTCGCGAAGGCTTGTCGTTTCGAGAACAGAGGCCATCCACTGGTTCCCTCGTCGCCATCGTCCTCGCCGTCCATTTCAAAGAATGGGCCAGCGCTAGCGACGCTGATACCGATGTAGCCATTGGCAACAGAGCCACGCGACTGGAACTGGCCTTGCTCTAGATTTGTGGTAGAGAGCAGCCAGTTATCTTGGTCCCATGTGACGCCATCAAAGTCGGTTTCGTACACATTGCTGCTGAAGTTGGTCGCCTGTTTCTGGCCGCCATACTTCTTGAAGGTCTTTGCAATACGAGTTTTGGGTGAAGCTCCGTCTACCAGAGTAGTGAGACTGAGCAGCAGAGGCAATGCCCGTGTAAGGGCAAGTGTCTGGAATTGCGTTAGCTTGTTTCATTCGGATCTGGCGGGAAGATTTACTTTGAGCTGCATCGTGTTGCGCTCGCACCCAGTAGGGCAGTTTGGGGATATAAGATCAGGTCAGGTCAGATCCGATCAGCTCGGCGCGATACCTGGCGCGAAAGAAGTGCACGATGGATCTGTATCGCCGGTGATTAGAAACGGTGGGAGGATGCGGGACAAAGAAGAGCAGCGACGACCGAAGTGGATGGCGGAGCCGAGATATTTGAATCGCCTGCAGGAAATGAAGTGCCGATCAATTTCAGTTCACCCCAGCCAGGCACCTGGCAATGCAAAGGCTCGCTCGGGCCCAGTTCCGCCCGTCCTTCCCTCTGGGGCGTTTCTGTGGGGAAATCGAAAAGTCAAAGCTTACGGGAAGATGGTGTTGCAGTCGTGCAGGATGGCCGTTTGAGGCAGGTCGTATACGAGCTGAAGCCTGAATGGTGGAGAAGGAGGAGGGTAGCCAAGAAGCCTTTAGTCAAGGCAAACCAAAACCGATGCCATGTCGTCTGCGGCTGGGTGGCTTCATGGTGGTGGCTTCGGATGAGCCGGCAGCGCGGGGAAGGGAACCATACTCCGTAGTCGGTGAAAGGAGGAGACTGTGGGAAACCGTGGGAGACCTCAGGCTCACCTCACGGCATTCCGAGTTTACACACGGCTTGTCGTCATCGACACAATAAAGTTCGCCGAGCGTTAACCGGGCGTGTGGCAGTGTGGGGAGGCTTGCTGGGGGCCCGCAAATTGCCCGACAATCGTCCGCTGAGGAGGGGATCTGGGGTGATCCACTCTCCGAATGAGGGATGGAGGGATGAAAAGGAAATAGTTGAATACAATTGCATTCAATTGAACTGAACTGGGATGGGAGGAAAGGGAAGTGTGCGGAGGAGAGCGCGGAGATGCGGAGTGTTTGTGCCTGGGTGCCTGGGTGCCTTGGTGCCTGGAATTCTCAGGCAGAAACGGACGTCATGACTAGTTAACTAAGATTAGTAGTATAACTATTTGCTACTTGAAGTTGTATATATTCCACGATTTAACTTGAAGTTTGCAATCGGAAATCTTCAAGTTTGAATGAGTAGGCTATCTAGATAGTACGGAGTATCCTAATATTCTTCTTATCTCTATAGGAATCCTGCCAGTGGTTCGATTCATGCTGCGGGGGTTTAGTTGTGTGGCACTGGCGATCGTAGCCTGAGGCCTGTTATGTTCCTGCCTTGGTCCTTTGTTGACTATTTCATCTCTACCATTCACCGCTGCGCTATTCTATTCGTCTCTTATTTTTGCCCCAGATATCTCTCGACATCTAAGGTTCCGATCAGCCGGAAAATCTCTCTCGCGTACATTTAACTATAAGTTATAGTTATATATTATCCATTGGCTCGACAAGACTTGAATTGATACGAATTCGCAAATGAGGGATGGTATTTGCTTCCACGTCCGCCCCCGAGGACGCGTCTGAGACGCCCGTCACCAAGTCAACGCCCACCACCACCGAGTCGCTCCCGGCTGGCATCCTACGTTACGCCCACCGGCTGCGCTTCATGACCACTACGGCGGCAGAGATGGCGACTCTAGATGTACGGCCAGCCCTCGGTAGAGCACCCGGCCATCGGGCGCTACGTTGCCACGACACCACTCAAGCAGAGACAGCGTGGAAAATGCTACTACACTGCTTATATAGCCTACCGCACTCGCACCTTCAGCTCTGCACCCGAGTGAAGGAAGCAGAGATAGAGCTTGAAACTAGGCATCTGGCGTGTGAAGGTACTAGTATTCTTGGATGCATTTTCACCCTGAATGAATGGAGACTTTCTTTGATATAAATACTTCTATCAAATGCTCTAAGATTCTGTCTTGGCGTAATTCTAAAGCATCAAAACCCAGTACCAGACCGCATGTAGTACGGGCGGTGGGATTGCAGCCATAACTGCTGACATACGACTCTAGCTTGTTGAATATTGAGCTTTCTGTCTTCCGGATTCTAAATACATATGCAAGTTGAATCTATCCCCATTAGTCGTACACCAGAAGTTGAGGAAACTGAATTTTATGTGCCCGGGGTATGTTTATCCATATCATATTAATGACGATACCTACTCCACTCCGTTATAGTAGGTGCCTTAGTTGCCTACTACGCTAGGAGTGAATAGGTCTACTCGGGTAGCAACAGGAGCGCAAGCAGCAACAAATACTAGTACAAAGAAATGACGTTTTCAATAAAACTCCTCTTACTCTACTTTCTCCATTTTCCTTCCCTTTCTGCTCGTAAGATCTGGTCTAGTCACCGGCCGTGGAGTGATTTGATACTTTCCATTCATGATGGAAAGTACCTAGAACTGGAGGCCGCCACGACAATATACTGCACGTAATTGGAGGCAACTGCGCGGATCGCATTCCCTTGCCAAATTCTCGCCACAACAATTTGAATTATATAATATTTTTATTTCCCGAATTCTAATTCGAAGAGACAGTCCGTCTGAGAATTGTGAATCGACTGCTTGAAGACTTCAGCGAGGACTTTGACGACCGACGCCATCACATTGATCCTGACACTGCGGAACAGCTTGAACAATTCCAAGGCTGGTCATTTTGATTGTTTTTCCTACAGGATGTAGACAGGGAATGTATGTGTCATGTGCCACGTCATGTGCAAGTTTAGAGACCCTTCGTTCCTGCCAACATCCCCAACGCACCTTCCTTATATCTGTGTTATTTCCACTTATTTTCCCTTTTCTGCCTCGTTTCTTATTTTCCCCTTCTCAACTCCTCAACTACTCCAGTATCAATGCGCAACATGGACAGAAAATGAACGAATGCAAGAAATGACTGCTTTCCATCTACCATAGTAAGTTCCACAGTCGGGGATAGACGTTCCATCCGAAACTGACGTATACTAACTAGTCTTACTTCTGAGCTTGAAGGCCGTATATTACGGCTATTTGCTCTCCTCGACCAAGTTCCACTTCTCCAAAATGTCGAATATACGCATTCGCGAGTTAACATTTCGACACTTTGCACATGTGAAGTTCGCGCTCTGTGTTCAATTTCATCTTCCAACGTACACATCACCTTGTTTCACTTTGCCGAAAGTCGCTCCGGCTTGACATTCAATTCCAGACGCCTTTTTTCGTAAGTTCTGACAACTCATACTTCCTATGTATGGAGATTAACATACCGCTAGATCTGCCCTGGGCACGGCAAGAACAAACCCCACTCCGCAGGAATATGCATGAGCATCAGCATAATATGCCAGCTGAACATCGAGGCAATGTTGAACTGCATTCAACTCACGAAGAGGCATAAGCACGGGTCCGAGAGGCACCATTCCGCCTCGAGAGATAGTACTGCCCTTTGGAAAAAGAAGCAGTTGATAACCAAGGATAGGCAGAAGCGTCTGCAGGAAAAGGAAGATTAGGAGGAGAACTCCGCTCATAAAGAGGAAAGCAGAAGAAGAGCAAGAAAGTTATGACATCCAAGGTCATTGAAGGACGCCGCCGCCGAAACCAAGGGAAATGGCCCCGGAAAGCCGAGAAGCGGGGAGCCCGGATGATCAACTCTGGTAAGCAGAATCAATTCAAATATAACAAACCATCCATAGTCACTAACATCTGCATGGAGGAAAAATTCTGAGGAGACCTCTGTCGAGGTAAACACCTCGACTTCTGCAAAGACGCCTTCGGACGAAATGGACGTCGATGGGATCGAAATCAATCTCAACAGCTAGGTTGAAATTCCTTTTTTTTGTATTTTTGAAGTTTAAAAGGAAGGGTCAATATGCGACAGAAACTAGATTGCAGGAGTACATTCGGATTCCTCCGTGAAATTCCCCGCGTAGTAGCAAGTTGTAATCGAAAACATCTCGATTCGGAAAGCAGACGGCTATTGAAGTGTGGCAAATACTACTCCGAGCTATATGCAAGTTCATTGACAGGTCCATGGTTACTATCAGTTGTAATCTTGATATCTCGCATTTCGATATCGTTAGAAATATAATAATGGTTCTTTCGAGAGGAATTCAAATTTTGGAAATTCTTGGTCAGCATGGACGATGCCAACACAGGGCATGACTCTACCTAATCTACCAATAGCAACAGTGCATTAACATCGCCATAAAACCCATTGCCAGTGTATCATCTATACACCCAAAGGCTATCGAAAGAAGGGTAAACCGAAGGACGCATCGACGGTCATGAATTGGGTTTGCCGGTTTTGCGGGATGGAACAGGAACAGCAACATAAAACTCCTCGCCCAGACTCCGCGAGAAAACTACCCTTCCAGTGTTGTAAATAGATTGGTCCTCCAGACCGTAAAATGCGGCGGCGAAATTCGCTGCTCCTCCGTTGTGCATTTCCACGGTCTGGTCCAGATTACTATTCCGTCTAGCAAGTGCCATGGCGAGGTTGAGATGAATCGCAACGGGAACTGGCGACAGGGAAAGAAAAGATGAGATGGATGAAGAGGATGAATTGATATATGCGAAAGGGGAATCCGCACGCCGTATCTATCTATCTCATCTCTCTTTCACTGCTAACTTATTACGACCCTCCCAGCGAGAATCGCCTCAACGAAGCCCTTCCTCAATTTCGTGGCTCGAGTTCATGTTGTGAGTTTCCCGAATCTGACCTCCTTGGTCTTCCTGGCTCTTCCTTGCAACCTCGTGGTTGCTGCATGGCTTCTCCGCTTCCCATCCCTGCCAATGGTATGGCTCCCGGGATTTCATGGTTAGTACTCGACTTCCAATAGCTCGCTATCGCGTCTGACTCTCCGTACAGTCCACGCCGTACATTCCATGTTTCTCTTTCAGCATCGACATTAGGATTGCACAGCCCGACGGAAGAGAGGTAATTGACCCAGTAAGCTCAACACGTCAATGGATGTATTTTGGATAAAGGCAACGGAAGCAACAAGCGAAGGAAGAATTGGGCGATCTACAAAGTGCGGGGGCTGGTGCTCGGTCACCCCGTCATCTTCCAGAACCGATCCACCCTTGGGCCAGAGGAGGGTTTCCACGGCGCGATTTATATACAATAGATCCGAACATATCGCATCACTCTTCTCCACTCGTGAAGTATAATCAGCGTGGGTGATTGAATTTTTACATTATGATGTGGATTCTGCCGCCGTAATGATAGTACTACCGCGCGCAATTGGGGAGATTGCAGGGCTAGCATTCATATGCTCATTTCTCTCGACAGCAGGTAGACAGGGTTGATGTATTGATTCCTACGAGAATCAATTATTCCAATGACTTGAATGACATTGTCCCATCCGCATGAACTACAACCGCAATCGACCCAGTGCTCTCGGCAGCCCCTGGATTCTTGGTGTCCCATATAAACTTGGACCTGCCGAAACTACGGTGCTAAATCCAGCATGCAACCTATGTGATTATTCTTTTCTAACAATTCAGGATACATTGAATATGACTGGGAAGAATACCGAGTACCTACAATTATAATATCTGTAGGGCGACTGAGTCAATCGCGGGCACGCGTCATGTGCTCGATTCCCTAGACCTCAGATGATCGTAGCTTATTCGAGTTGCTACCGTTCGCTTCTCTCCTACTCACTTCGCCAGCCTCTCCGCTCCGCTGCCCTCGTTTCCGACCTTTGACAATCAAGCCGTCTTTCACTCGCTGTCACAATGCCTTCCTACGTAAGTTTGGGTGCTCTTTATCTCGTGCACGCAGATGTTAACTAACACGGGTGCAGATCTGCGAAATCCACGGGGCAAATGCCGAACACGACACGAACTCTTGCCCGGGTAACTGGAGGCCCTCGCCGCGAAGATCGACAAGTCTAGAAAGGCAGCACGAGCTGCGATCAACGATCACCGGCAGATGGAGACGAGGTTTAAGAACCAGGTTCGCCGCCGCCTCTGATCTGAGAGGAAGAGGAAAAGGGAGGAAGAGGAGGAGGAGCAGAACGAGAAGAAGTAGAAGACTCCTTCAGGCCAAAGTCACCGGTAATGAAATCCAATTCGAAAGGAGGACGGATGGTGAAACAGTCGAGTAATAGACCCCCGGACCACCGACTCTCTCTCTCTGTGTGTGTGTCGTTCCTTTTGGTATTTTATGATGAATGACAACCGTAACCTTCCTTGGAAATCTGTTCCAACTGCTCCGCAACGTCGATAATGAGGCATCATCCGAAATGATCGAAGGGTAGAAACACCATGCGCGTACTGGAAGTGCTTCGATCTGATATACGACACACAACCCTGCTCCTGGCTTCTACGGCAAGACTCTTCCACACTCGCTGCCAGAGGAATATTGGCTCGTTTGCGGTCACGGAGCGCGTAGTTGTGTGGCTGTCGCGTTCCTTCCTCACTCCTCCTCTTCACCTTTCCACCTAAACCATCCACCACTGCTCCATTCTGTTCGCTTCTGACCCCCAAACAAGCATGTATCGACATGTAAGTTGATGAGCTGGAACAATGTTTCATCTCATGCCCGTTCAACTAACACAGGTCACAGTTCTGCACCATCCACGGCCTCAACCACTCCCATGACACGGCATTATGCCACGAGTTGGAGACGCTGGCGACTGTCACTGCAAGGGCAATTCGAGCAGCCCTGGCCATTCCCCCGAAGAGGGAGATGACGGAGGCACAGAGGCAGAAGAAGAGGGAGAAGCAGCGCGCTCGCCGCCACCGCCGCCGGGCGGAGAAGATGAAGGAGCAGAAGACTCCTTCGGGGGCCGAAGTCACCGGTAAGGGGATTCATTGAGCAGATAAGAGAGGAAGATCGTTACTGATACTGAATAGAGCCCCCACCAGCCACCGATCCTCTCCCCCAAGGCCTGCCCCTGCCCACCTGCCTGCCTTACCGGACCTTGGTGAAGGTTGAGGATGGCGTTGATACCAAGTTCAAGCTGTAGTGGCTGTTGTTCTTTTTTGTTGCTTTTTTATTATGAATGAATGAATGAATGAATGACGACTTTCTTTGAACTTAAATACTTGTTGCCAGTGTTCTGTCAAGGCGGAATCCGAAAGCATGGATGAATAGTCCGTATGCACGGTGGAATCGCAAACATAGTCACAGGTATACGAATTAAAGCATTATACTGAGGTCTTGCGGGCTCAAACCTGGGAGTTTGCTTGCTCACATTTTATGTACGCATGACTAACTAGTATCTACCCTTGCCTGAATTCCATTTCTTTCATCGCTTCCATCAGCGGGTGTAGACCGATCGCACGCCTTTATCATCAGATAGACAGAAATAATGTGAGAATCCACTGCTCTATCACGTAGATCTTCATTTTCCATCTCATATTCCCGTTTCTCTTTCCACGCTGCCAGTGCGTAGTGTCTAGTAATTGACCTTTCTAGTTTCTCTGCACATATACTGGTTGCATCTAGTCCCCCTTGGCCACTGGCATGTACCGGTTCGGGATACCGTGGCGCAATGTTCTGTGTCCCCGGATATATCCATCCACGGAATAACTGTAGCTATTCCACTCCGTGCGAGTAGATACCTTGGCACCTACTGAGTTGCTAGTAGGTCACGATATGATTAGCCTACCCGGGTAGCAACCAGTGCAAGCAGCAGAAAAGATACTGGTACTAGTAGTACAAAGAAATGGATATTTTGAATATCATTTAGTCAACTCTGTTTCCTCCCCTTTTCCTTTCTTCTCCGCTTGGAAGTATACTCTAGATTAGTCACCGGCAGTGGGATGAGTTGGTACTTTCCACCCCGATACCGACTAGTAGTTATTGCCACAGGGCTGGCATTCCATGTCAACTTCTTATTACAACCTTGAACAAACAGATTTCCCGAATTGCACAAGGACTGTTCTTTCTTTGGAATACACAATAAACTAGTAGGTGCGATGTGTTATGTTATGTCATGTGCATGTCATGTGCCCCCAAGTATAGAGGGCTTCCCCTTCGTTCCTGCCAACTTTATACCATAGTAGTAGTACGCACCTTCCTTATATTTGTACTTTCCCACTTTTCTGCTAGTTTACTTGTTTACTTCCTTCTTCTTCTTTTCTTCTCCTCATTCTCTCCTTTTCCTCTTTTCAACCCACCTCGCACTTTTCGCCCGCCAGTACCAGAGACCCAACCCTCCACTGGTCCAGCCGGCAGGACTGCATCAGCTTCATCAGATCAATATTTCTATATCTCTGACGTGCCTGCCTCTGTAAGTTCGAATGCCCTTTGATCTTATCTACGCAAAAATTAACAACGGACATAGCTGTGCTCGCTTCACGGTCATTCCAAGACCCATGGCTTTGCCGCGTGTCGTCCGAACATGCTCTCAATCATGAATGCCGAGACCTTATGGCGCGGTTGCCAGCCGGAGTCGGCATGATGCCTTCCTTTGTAAGTTTGGATACTCTTCATTGGATGTTTGTAGAAGTTGACACGGGTTCAGATGTGCTCCATTCCATTCATACAGCAAGTTCCGGTCACCGCACCACTTCCCATTTGAAGCCCGGGATGGTGCCGCCACAGCCGCCAAAGGCAAGATAATTTTGGGCGCTTCGAAAAGCGCTCCGTTCCTCGAGACCGGGTCAATCCTGCTCAAACGAATCAGACCTTTGTCACTGGGGCGATATTCGGAGCTCCCGCTCAGAAGGCCGAGGCTCTAAGAAGAGAAATGAACTGACAGATGCATCCAAAAGGGATGAAGCGGGCTCACCAGCGCGCTTGGAAGATCTGGATTTCTTCGAGGGGTAACTTTGCTGGGAAGGAAGCTCTTAAGCGGCAAGGTGCTGCTGGGTTCCGTGAAGTTATTGGTAAGCAGATCCCGTTCAAAGGGATAACGAATCGACACTGATCATCGCAGATGTCCACGGTCGAGGAGATGATGGGGATTCTGGCGATCTCCGCATGGCCGAAGACCACGAGAGGATGTTCCTCGACACGAGCTGGAGATGTCTTGGAATTTTGCTCAGGAGTGAGCCTGAGGTATACGGTTCACAGGCTCGATTCGATAGACCGGAAGTACTACCACCCCTTTATGTCCGGACAAAGCTCATAAATCGACACCGATCCCGTTCGAGACAATTATTCCACTACAGTAGCTACCGGTCGACTTTGTTTTCATAACCTCTTCCTACCCGCGTACCTACGGTCTGACTTGTATGTCCAAATCGGAGAGATTCTGAAGGGCGAGAACTCGAGACGGAGCTCATGAGGTGGTGCGATATCCGGATTCAAATCTGTCATGACTACGAGGCGGCTCAAGCTCGATTGAAGATGTCTGATCTCGAGTGTCTTGTTACAAGTCGATGGTTAAAATTATATATGAGAGTTTTTATCACTCTTCATTCTTGGGTTGCTATACTAACCCCCTTCTCTCTAGGTGAAAGTCCAATTCTCGAACTTTCTCACGGCTGTCCAAAGGATTCCCAGATATTGGCGACTCCTTGCGGCTCCCTAATCTTTTTCAAAGTTCTTCCGGTCTTCCAATGACCGTCTTCTCGATTCTGACCAATGCGATTCGAACCAGATAGGTGCCTCGTATCTCCAAGCCTGGAACCTTGAGCCCGATACTCCAAGACGAAGCTGATAGACTATCCGAACCGTCCGTTTGTAGCTTCAATTCGCGCAAATGGGTCACTTGCAGTTCTTGAAATGAAAATCTTTCCAATTTTCACTCAATGGATGTCCGACAACTGCTTGAAAAGTCTTGCTTCGAGATCGAGACTACAAGTCTCAACCCCACATGAGCCACGATGTCAGACAATACAGTTGCCGGGATATCGCCCAGCTTTTCTCCCTCAAAAGCTCACAAATGGGGACACTCTGATTGGGGTCCTTCGGGATGAACTACTGCGTGATGTTCAATTTCCGCTTACTCGCTTTGATGAGGTTCATATGGATTCAAAGTAGAAAATGCAAACACAGCAATTTATTGACATGGACCACAAGTGTCAACCCGATCGCATCTCCGGGTGAATGATTTACCAGAAATACCATTGGAGCTCGTTCGGAAAACTGCTGGTCTGTCACAAAACCAGAGAACACTGGTACTCTTGTGGAACTTAGCAGGCCTTTCAGGAATGGTCCGTGGAGAAACTGTGTCAAGGCAGTTCGGATTATTGTTGTATAATATGTATGGTGATTGATATCTGTACGAAAATGCGATTTGCATGGTCCCAACAAGACGCACGCAACGCAGCAGAAAATTGCAACGACAATGGCTTTTTTACAGTCTTGATGTCAAGACGACTGCAAGGACATTGGTTTTCTTGCATCCTTGAGGCCAAGGCAATTCGTTTTGTTCCATCATCGCATCCAATAAATGACATTTCTCGGGCGAGGGCCCAATCCTCACGGAAAGAATCGGGGGGTGGTCAGAGTTGAGAAGAAAGGGTCCAGAATTTGAAGAGGGCGAAAGGAAGCAAAACGAAGAAGAGCCCGATCAAGTCGATTATGAGGAACTTGAAGATTCGGAAGGACCCCTTCCAGGATACAAACACTTTGTTCCTGGGCAGGTCACAACTTCAGCTGGTGCGGGTCGCTCTCTTGATCTGTTCAACGGTCTTTTGATCGCTCATCCAGTTGGACCTCGTGAGGACGGCGAGCGCTCTCACGGCTTCTGAGAAAGTTTCCGGGCGGCCCAACACTCTGGGTCTACCAGTGCGGCGATAGGACAAAAGGCATCGACTAGCAAAGCATCAGCTACCACCGGGTCCGCTAGTGAAGCAACAGGGAAAGCACCCGTCGAGACAGCCACCGAGAAGCAACCTGAGCAAGACTTGATGATGGCAGACGACCTAAAAGAAATGGAAAAAGTTTTCAGCGGTCCAAAATCACCAGAAGACCGATTCAAAGGGCTGCTGGCTGCGTACAACTCCACCAAGGAATCGCTGCACCCGCAAGTTCGCTCATTCGCGCACAGACTACACTATATACATACGACTGCGAAGGAGATGGCAAGAACAGATGTCAATCTGGACTGAGGAGCCTTTCCTTTATTTTTATGTTGAACGATATTTTAATCGCTCATCCAATTCGACCTCGCGATGGGACAAAGTTGGAGAAGGCTCTACCATCACGAAGCTAAATAGAGTTTAAGTCAGCTACGAAGATGTTCCTTGCAATCAAAATTGATGCATGTCTGACTCAAACCCGGGATATTCAGCCCTTCCGCCCAGATCCCGTATGGCTTTAGGAGAGATCATTTTCCTCCGAGGCCAAGAAAGAAGAGATGGTGTAACAGTGACAGAGGTGGAAGAAGTTGCATTTGGCACTGCCCGTCACCGTTCTGGTGAAGCTGGGAAGTCATGGACCATCCGGCGCCCGCTTCTGAAGTACGCCGAAGACTTGTTTGCTCGTGAATTCATGAATGGCTTTGAAGATACGGTGATTTCGTTCTTCGAGAAGTCAGTTCGAGCCCAAAAGACTTTCGGACATCAGAGAATGAACGGTACCAACAAGCAAGGTGTCTATATTCATCTCATTATTCACACCCTCCTTCAGAAGTTGCTTGCCGGGTATGGTGGATCTAGCGACGATGTTGACCGGCGGAATAACACTCAGCATAGTTGGTATATATATGCGGACAAAGGCCACCGAAAAAGGCCGGTGTTACAACCTTCTTCCTCAACTGTCGTGCGAGTGATATCGAATCACGCATTCGCTTTCTGTTTGCTGCATTCGAGCCTGAACTACCAAGTTCATTTCTCTTCTTCTTGAGGGAATCTTGTGCATGTGGCTCGGTATGATCCGGCCTCCTCGAGACGATTAGATCAAATGGAATACCCCAGCTGTGATGGCTTTGAGCAAAGAAATCCGAGGAATTGCGAGTCTTGCCAAGCCACCTAACTGGATTCCATTGAATGCGACATTTCAATTAATGCAAGGCGCCACAGCCAGATTTTGCCGACCTCTCACTCGATCTGCCGTGCCTGCGAGAAGTATACCAGAGACGGAGAGTTTGAGACTGTCAATGTATGTTCTCGATGAAGAACCATCAAAACCAGTCGGCAAATGGATTTCATTCCCTTGTTATCATTGGATTCGAGTGAATCAGAAACAAACATCCAAGGATACACTCGACCCACCACAGAGCTGACTTGCAAGCAAGTATGGAAAGCTGTTTAGTCTCCAAGCCTGCGAAGCGTGAGATAGGTCAGCAATTTCATATTCTCCGCGACGGTAGGCAGATTTGATTCGATTTAAACGAAAAAGAATGCATACTAATAACCTTGGAGTTGCAGAACTACAACTACTGTTTACTTCTCTCACAATAACATACGCACACCTGACCTCTTCCTTTCGTCTTTGCCAACCCAAACTCTCCTCTTCGTTTGTGAGCGTTTTGGCAACTTTTCTCCTGCTCAGAATGTCAAATTTACGCAAGTTTGTAAGTTTAAATCGACCATCACGGCTAAATCTTGCACCTCCGGAAATAAACCTGAATACGCCACAGCATCTTCGAAGCTACTTGGATGGTTTACCTGGCTCGAACAACAAATCTAGACCGATCTGCCTTGTGTCTGCTTGCAACAGGGGATCAGCAAAGCTCACAACACCAAATCGTCTCGAGAACTCGAAGCTTTGTGCATTATGAATGCGAAGTCAGATTTGGTCACGATTGGAGACCAAAAGAAGTAACACCACGCTTCGAACAAGCACCAAAACGCCGCAAATACGGGCCCTGCTCCTGCCACCCAGGCCCAGTCGGCCTGCATGTCAACGCAGAAAAGGAGCACAACAGGGTGCATCCTCTGGAACTGTTGTGCTATATACTATTATACCTTACCTCATCCACTATCTGCATGTTTGAGTAATAGGCGACCCTTTTACAGGATTTGGGTACCCTGAAGAAGGTGAGTTTCCCGAAGAAGGTAAAGAAGTGGCGAGAAAAGAAGGCCCGGAAACTTAGGGAGGCCCGCCTGGGAAGTTGTTTTTGAGATGAAGCGATCCATTTCTGCGCGTGCGCGAGATGTGAAAAGGCTTCTTGAAGACTTCGACAACTCCGTGTAAGGTTTTGCTGGTACCTGCTCGTTGAATTATACCTCTCCTGCCAACTCCGAGAGCCCCATCCTGGCCCTCGAAAGGAGCCCAAGGCTGCACAAAAGCAGCAGAAGTCTGGTGGAGATAGACCCCAGAAGGCCGCGAGAAGGAGGCCGAGGATCCCAAGGAGAAGGATGCCAATAACCAGGCCTGGAAGGCGAGGCAAGTGGCCAAGAAGGTTGCTCGGAAGGAGGCTGATGGGTCCCGCGAAGTCACTGGTAAGTGAACTCAAGTCAAAACGCAGAAATAAACAGATGGGTCCTAATGTATATATATATGCAGGAGATTCTCAGCAGGGATGGCCCCAAACTTCCAATCAAAATATGCACTTGGTATGTGTGTCCCGGGGTCAGCATAGGGATTCGGAACGGTTCTCCTGGCGCTTCGACCTTGGGAAGGATCGCGCAATTGAAGTCTACAGCCCAGTCCGCTTGGCAATTATTTGCTTTAGCTTCTTTTCATTGTGTCTTCCCCTCTGAAAAATGACCGGTCAACTCTAAGCGACCAGTGCAACGAGGAGTTCGACCCGGAGCATGTTCGGGGCCTCAGTTGGGAGGACTGAGAGGGGGGAGGGGGGTAGAGATGGAAATGTAGATGGAGGAAACCTCAGTTCTGTTTTTAGTATTTTGTACTTCTTAAACCATCGCCCTGCTAGGCATAAACATCATGCGTATTCCTCTGTAATCTTCGCGCAAGGCGTAATCTAAATAGATCGAAGAGTAGACCATTCATGAGATATATTGAAACTCGAGCCGTATTCTTCGAGGGGGAGACGAGGCGGTTTAATTTGCACGAGAGCTTTTCAAATTTGGGTATATTGTCGAATTAGACTGGATGTTCTGAGTACTTGTCGCCTTTTCCAGAAGATCTCTCATTATCTTTTTCTTCCATAGTCAAAAACTTGAGTTGAAACTGTCACACTCCAGGGACTACTAGCTAACCTAGCAGCTACTACTAGTAGAACTAAATTATTTCATCAACTGTCAAGGTCTTCTTCTTCTAGTTATAGAGTGATTATACCCTCAAATAACCCCATAACCCAAGGCATAAGATATTACCCAGAAATATCCCCGCCCGAAAGCCGAGCGAGATCCAGCCGATAGCCGACTCAACAACTCATCGACAATATAAAATAGTATAAAATAAGTACATTGGACCCCTCATCTTCTCCGAGTCTTCAAGCTCTAAAACCACCAATCCAAACCTAAAAACAGCCCCAATGCCACCAAACTTCCTAATAATAGTCGCCGACGACCTCGGCTTCAGTGACTGCAGCACCTTCGGCTCCGAAATCCACACGCCAAACATCGACTCTCTAGCCAGCGCACCCGGCGGACTAAGATTTACCTCATTCCACGTCGCAGCAGCATGTTCACCAACAAGAGCAATGTTAATGACAGGCACAGACCACCATTTGACAGGTCTAGGCCAACTTTCCGAAATCATAAGAAATTCACCGGCCCATCAAGGTGCCCCCGCCACGAGGGCTATCTTACTCAGAATGTCGTTGCGATTCCGGAACTCCTTAAGGATGAGGGTAGTTATAAGACTTTTATGGCGGGGAAATGGCATCTTGGGCTTAAGAGGGAGCTCGGTCCGAGTGCTAGGGGCTTTGAGAGGTCTTTTGCTTTGTTGCCGGGTTGTGCGAATCATTATGGTGGGTTTGAGATGTGCATTTTGTTATGCATTGCGCTGGGCTTCTATTTTAATTCTCATTCCTTTGCATGAATCAAAGCTAATACATCCATCCAGGCTACGAACCCCAATACGAAAACATTCTCAACGAACCACCCCGGTTCTTCGAAACAGCCGTAAACGCCCTCCACATGGAAGACGGCGAATATCTCACCGACCTACCAAAAGACTTCTACTCATCCGACCACTACGCATCAAAACTGCTCGGCTTCCTCTCCGAGCGGGACGAGGAAGATCGCAAAAAGCCTTTCTTCGCTTATTTGCCCTTTTCCGCGCCGCACTGGCCGTTGCAGGCTCCGAAGGCTTCGATGGATAAGTATCGCGGTGTGTATGATGATGGGCCCGAGGTGTTGAGACAGAGACGGCTGGCGCGGTTGAAGGAACTTGGGATGGTGGGGGGAGACGTTGTTCCTCATGAGGTTGTTACGACTGATGGGGAATTGGGGGAGTGGGAGGATTTGAGTGGTGAGGAGCGGGCGAAGTCTGCGCGGTCTATGGAGGCTTTTGCGGGCATGGTGGATCGGATGGATGAGAATGTTGGACGGGTTTTGGAGTACTTGAAGAGCAGTGGGGAGTATGATGATACTGTTATTTGTTTTATGTCGGATAATGGGGCTGAAGGGGCGAGTTATGAGGCGCAACCGTTGGTTGGGGAGAGTGTTGTTGAGCATATCAGGAAGTATTATGATAATTCGTTGGAGAATATTGGGAGGGCGAATTCGTTCGTTTGGTATGGGAGTCGGTGGGCCCAGGCAGCCACAGCTCCTTCGAGGTTATATAAGATGTTTTCGACGGAGGGGGGTTGTCGGGTTCCGCTTATTGTGAAGCCGGTCAAGGGGGGGGTTGAAGGAGGGGGGTAGGATTGTGGATTCTTTTTTGTACGGTGATGGATATTGTTCCTACGATTCTGGACTATGCGGGTTTGACGCACCCTGGGTCTGAGTATAAAGGGAGACAGATTCAGCCTGTTCGTGGAGTGAGCTGGAAACCGTTTTTGGATGCGATGGCTGCGGAGGGATCGGATACAGCTCGTGATCTCTCCGGGACGATGGCGATTCATGGGGAGGAGAAGGCATTTGGGTGGGAAATTGCTGGCAGCGGTGCACTGAGGCGAGGTCGCTATAAGATCACATATGTGCCTCTTCCTCGGAGTCCGCAGCGGTGGGAACTGTTCGATATAATCGATGATCCGGGTGAAGTCAAAGATCTGAGTGAGGCGATGCCCGAAGTGTTCAACGAGATGCTCAGGCTGTGGGGTGTTTATGCAGAGGAAGTCGGAGTGGTCGGGTTAGCGGGAGATTGGAAGAACGAACATCTGATTGAAGGGGTCAAGGACGAATTTGAGGATACAGGTCGTTGGATCAGATTCATTGGGAAGAAGGATGTGCCAGCTGAGATTGCAGACAAAATTCCTCGTTGAGTGAGAGGGGGTATGCCAGTGGATTGATTGGGTGTATATAGAATTGTATAAAATGCAGGTTGCGCGATTCAATCCATATTTACAGCAACACTTCCGGGGTCAGGCATATCCAAATCTCCAAGTCAAACGGTTCGAAAAGTCATCAGCGATCTGCAGATGAGAATCGATATACATCAGCGCTTCGGCCTCGCAGTTGTGGATCGTCAAGGTTGAAGGTAAAGGAGCCTTCAACTGCAGAGTCGGTCCTGTCTGGGGCACTAGTGTTTCCAGTAACCCCATTTAGCACCTCCGAATCGATGTTCATATTTTCAGTCTTTATTCAACGGTAAAAAGACGGCGAATGAGGATGATGGGATTCTGGTATTCCATCTTCCTTGGTTGAAGGAGATAAGCTAAGAAGAAGAATTAAAAATTGGGTTCATCCATGACCTGAGCGTGAGCATTCTCTCACCTGGTTTCATTTCGATCCAGCCAGCCTCTATTCAGTAGATGTAGGCGTTTATCTCGTTTAGTGGGAGATGTCTTGGGAAACTCGGCCCGCATTCTTCGAGAAGAGACTATCTGGTCGGATTCGGATGGAGTGTTCGGATTGTCTCGTCGAGTTAGACTAGATGTGGCGAATGCGTCAGTTTTTTCCATAATATTTCTCGTCACTCTCTATTAACGTGGTATCAAATCGTGACAGTAGGGAAGGAATAGGCTGGTACGACTGGCTAGCCGATAGCTACTGGTAACTTACCGCAGTACCAACTTGCGTTGGTAAATTTTTCGCACAAAGTACGCTTCCAGACAAATATCATACAATCACTCCTCTTCCATACTATCCTCCTCCTCCTCATCAGCCCCGTCCATTCCTCCGAGTGCAGGACTCGAAAGCGACGCACTCCCCCGTGGCGCATTCGCAATCGCACTCGCATTCGAATTCGAAGTCACATTCCGACTCTGTCGCCGATTCGACGCAGCGATAGCCCTCTCCCCAACAAACTTATCACCTGGCCAATCCTGCTTGCAAACGGGACATTTCTCTGCCTGTTGCATACGAAAGAAATTGCGGACGCAGTGATCATGTAGTCTGCCCTTGCAATCTCGTTCACCACACCGTTGGCCCTGTAAATGTCAGCTCAACTCAACTCAACCCAGTTACCAGGGTCTGCAAGGAAACGTGAAGAAACTTAAACTCACCACAGTAACAATATCCTTACAAGCAGCACAAAACTTAATCCTCCCCGCACGCCTCGAACCTCCTCCCTCTTCCTGTTGATCATCATTATACGTCAAAATCAACCAACCCCTCAACTCCATCAGCGCGCGCGGCGTCAAACTGAAAATACCCGCACGACTTTTCTCCAACCACCCCTCATCAACCAAATGGCGCATCATATTTTCCGCCTGCGTCATACTAAGACTTTGCGCGGCACCGCCTTGGGTTGCTTGCGTTGCTGGATTCTGCGAGCGGTGGTCTGCAGCGGAGACTTTTGCTTGTTGAATTGCTTGGATGGATGATATGGCCATTCCTTCACAGAGGCGAGTGTTGTTTGTGTCGAACATGAAGTCTAGGATTCGTTTTACGAAGGCAATTTCGTCGGCGGAGTAGGTTGTTGATAGTTGGGTTATTGGGTCGCTGGTTGTGTTTACAAGGGCGTAGACTCGCTCCGGTGGTGGTGTGTCGTTGGCAGCAGCAGCATTGGGAGAGGAGGAGGAGGGGTCTGGTTGGGTTTGGCGGAGGGTGCTTCTTATTTCGAAGTCGAAGGGGGATATGGCGGTGTTGGCGGAGGATATGTAGGATGTGAGGTGTTCTTGGGTTATGTCTTCGGGGTCGATGGTTCGGTGTTCTAGGATTGCGGTTTAGTTTTGCTCTGAGTCTGTCCAAGGGTGATTGCTGGGGTTGCTGCAGGTGGGTGTATATACCATGAGTAGAGAGGATAGCTGCGAGGATAGGTTGGGCGTCTTCGAGGGTCATGGAGGAGCGGGCCATGAAAGCTTGTAGAAATGCGCGATTCGCGTCATCGTAGCCGTCTGTGTCCATCGTGGAGGTCAACTCGGAGCTCGTGGGAAGGAGAAAGGTGAAGTGAAGTGGTGAGTGGTGAGGTTAAAGTTGAAGTTGAAGTTGGAAGTGGCACGCGCGGCGCGTCGAGTGCCAAGCCTTCCAGTTGCAGACTCAACTCTTTGATTGGCAGGAACAGAAAGAATAGAATGAATAGAATGGGATATTTTAAAATGAGAAATTCTTTAGAGATAGTCTGACCTATTTAAAGGCTTTTATACCTAAGGCATGCGTGGTTTATTGAGCTTTTGAGTTCCAAGGTTCCAACCTTGGTATATACTTCGTCTGGAGGGTTGAGCTATATATATCCGCTGCTAAGGTGCTTCGTACTTCAAGTCAACAGCGCGCAGCCTTCAGCCCTGCCCAGGTGGACTTCAAATTCCTCAAGTCGGATTAGAAATCCATGGATCCAAGTTTGTAACTGCTCTGAATAATTTTGAATTAATACTAAGGTTGTGAAACTACTACTAAGACTAGTATTGTATCCACTTCGAGGTGAAGTGCTCGACACTGGCATAACAACTCCAAGTCGGACTTGAACCAAAAATTTAGTATATCTACTACCTAGGTACTAGTACTGCTAGTAGTAAGTATAAGTTGAACAGAAGATTGAATATACCCAAAGAAACTTGAAATGCAGTTGATATCATTATAGAATACAAAGCAGCAAAATGCCGAAGCCAGCCCAAGACCTCGGGGAGGTACTAGTACCAGTAAAAGTGGAACTTGGATATCCAATATCAAGATCACCAGAACGCCATAATGGAAACAGACATCAGAGAAAAAGAAAAAGAAAAGAAAGAAAAGAAATAAAGACCCATGCGGAATTTTGTCCAGATTCAAAAGGAAACACAACTCCATCCACGCAGCAGTAGCAGCAGCACTACCATATCACCGCACTGCATTGCACCGCTCCGCTCCGCTCAGTATCTCCGCCGAGTAGGTTCAGGACTAGGACTCCTGGAAACACTTCTCGCATCCCGACCACGCTCGCGGAGCCACTTCTTCGTACTATTCCGTAATTCGCGATCAAGTTCCGGACCGGGATCCTTGCGATGAATGAAATTGCAGAATCCGCCGCGCACACAGCCTTCACCGCTATTCAGTCGACAACAGGCTTCGCGGAAGTCTGTCACGGGCGATAATTCGCAGTAGATTGGTCGCGCTGCGTACCAGCGGGAATTAAGCGTGTCGCAGGCTACTTGGGCGTCTTCTTCGTATTTGAAGCGGGCGTAGACGTTGCCGATTAGGTCTGTTTGAAGGGAATTGGTTAGTATCAGTTGGGAATAGCGGAGAAGAGAAGCCGGGGAAAAAAGGGAGGAAGGAGGAAGGCCAGTCAAGGGGAGAGGAAAGAAAGACTTACGGTCATTGTTATTATCACAGATAACCAGTTCCTCCAATTCGCCGTACTTGCACATCTCGCACCAAACATCCTCGTAGAAGGCGTCGAAGTGGTTCTGCAGCTGGGACGGGTTCATCTTGCTCTTAGGATCGTAGGCGGGATTCTGATACATGTTGGGCATCAGGACGGTTTGCGAGTAAGAGGGCTTGACGTGTTTGCGGGAGCAGCGGTCTCCATGACGGCAGGCGCCGATTTTGTAGTAGAATGAGCAGTTGACCTTGTCTTGCTCGGTTCCGAAGATGGAGGCGAGGTAGTTGGCCATGGCGGAGGTGGATGGTGGAGATCGAGGTGGAGAGGAAAAAGCGGGAGATCAGAGGATAGCGCGGGGACTCAGGGGTGAGGTGAGTTGGGCGCAATCGGAGGTGGCGATGGCGATGAGATGGGAGAGGAGTTGCTTAGATATCGCGAATGCCTGAAGTTTCTGGAGAGCTCCACGGATGACTCAGCGTCCGGGGAGCTCTGCGGAGAATTGTTCCTCCGAGATTATACAGCAGAGGAGATATAGTATAGAATACTAGAGATAGTACCCATGGATAGGATAGGTATTCCATAGCAATTATTGTAGAACGATAGAAGGAATGACTATTGAAGTTTGAATGGAATTGACGTGGTATATCATGGAATACTCGGCGTAGTACCAACTCTGTCTGGTAGAAGAGGGGAGTTCAACCACAGCTGGACTAATTCGATATATGTGCTAATTTAATGGATACGACTAGAAAACTACCAATGAATTAAAATTAAAATTGGCCTTCATTAAAGCAGTCCACATATATCTCCTCTATCTATACTTTGTAGTGCTAGCAATCCCTGCAGTCGACCGCAGTCCGCCGCGGAGATTATTAAGCCCCGCACTTCCTCGGCTTCCTCTTGGAGCTTCCCTCGACAACTTCCCTCCTCCACCTCAACCTCCCCCTCGACCTTCACACTCGCCAAAAGACCCAATGTCGAAGACAATCATCGTAACCGGTGCCTCCCGAGGTAATCCCTCACCATTCCCCCGACTCCACCTCGCCCCCAGCTAATCCCAACCCCATAGGCATCGGCCTCTGCATCACCGAATACCTCCTCACAACCCCGCAACCAAACAACGTCGTAGTCGTCGCCAGAACCCTCGCCCCGCTCCAAGCCCTGAAAGAAAAATACCCAAAGCAAGTCGAAGTGGTCAATGGAGACCTGGCGGACTTTGGTCTTGCTCAAAAGGCCGTCGACGCTGCTGTATCTACTTTCGGCCGTTTGGATGGAATGGTCTTGAACCATGGTGTTCTTGGTCAAGTTGGTAAAATTGATGTCGCCAGTACGGATGAGTGGAAGGCTGGCTTTGATGTCAATTTTATTAGTTTGGTTGCTTTTGTATGTTCCAGCTCCCCCGAGTCGTCGCCGCATTTAAGTTCATCTCCGATTCGATTCCCCCGGGCTGGCATACGGTGCAGCATGCATGTATACATATACAGCCTCACTTGGACCAGACTGGACCAGACCGAATGGACCCGGGCCATGGCAATAACTATAATGATTACATACCCAGACCAAGCTAACTTTTCCTCCCACTCCTTCACAGACAAAAGCAGCCCTCCCCCACCTCCGCACCACGCACGGAAAAATAATCTTCACCTCCTCCGGCGCCGCCGTAACCGGATACAGAGGCTGGGCTCTCTACGGCGCAACAAAGGCAGCAATGAACCATTTCGCAATGAGTCTCGCGGCTGAAGAACCCGATGTGGTTTCCGTCTCTATTCGGCCCGGAATGGTCGATACCAATATGCAGCGTGAACTTCGCGAGGATCATGCGACTAGTCTTGATGCGGAGATGCATGCTAAGTTTACGGGTGTGCATAAGGAGGGCAAGTTACTGAGGGTTGAACAGCCTGGTCATGTTATGGGGAAACTTGTGCTTGGTGCGGAGGCGGGATTGAGTGGAAAGTTTCTTTCGTGAGTGATGATTTCTTTATTCCTTTTTTGTTGAGTTTGATTTTGCGGGTGGATTGAGCTGAGTTGAGCTGAGTTGAGCTGAGTTGAGCTGAGTTGAGCTGAGTTGAGCTGAGTTGAGCTGAGTTGAGCTGAGCTTGAGCTTGAAGGAAAGTGGATGCTGTGGAGCTTTGTGCTGACTTTTCTTCTTGCAGGTGGAATGATCAGGAGTTGGGGGCGTTCCAGGAATGATTTATTAACTTCAAGTTGAAACGGAATTGGATGTACGGAGTAGAAGGTAAATTTTGAGTTAACTGCATTTGCATTGATTACTGAGGGTATTATGCTATATCGAGTGATCCGCAGGACACACTCGTGCGTCTCGGACTAAGACTATACTGGGAAATTTCTGTACATCAATTAGTATGATGCGGCCAAAGCAATGAAAGTGAACAATGTGTAATGGCATGGGTTGTAATCAGCCGAAAGATGAAAAGCATTTACATTTTATAAGCATCAGGTGGTGAAACACCTTCATACTTAGCATGGAATGTAGGAGGTTCATCATACAAAAGTGGGTGGAAGAGAAAAGCGTAATTGTATTGGGTCTCGCATACCTATAGAAGCAGAAACAAGAAAGAAAAGCTCAAGATGTTTTGATGTATTAAGGTGATTGAGTGCTGGTTGTCCGGCTGGCGATGCTGTAATGTCCTGAATCTTTTGTAAAGTTAGCGAGAGAACCTCCACAACTTGAGTGAAAATCAAAAGAGATTTGAATTTTTCTTTTCAGCTAGTCCGTTTGGCTAGGACAGGTAAATCACCACGGTTTTGTATGATAGGGGCGACAACAAAAGTTCATCATGTAGAGGGTATGCATTGCACGGGAGTGCGATGCAATTGCAGTAGGGAGGAAAGAAGAGCAAAGCAGGGCAAAGGAAGCTTACCATTAGTGAAGTATCCCCGAGGAATCAATCGCTCAACATTAAGAGGATTCGATTCACTCGAGGAAGAGCTGAGTTGAATGAATTGGAGTTGTGTAGAAGAGAAGAAGTGAAGCAGGAAAAATTTCCTTGAAGTAATCCGAAAAGCGGTGAGGGAACTTTTTTCTGCCCACGGGCCACACTCCACTCACTCACCACTCACTCACTTTCTCCGAGGGTCGATTCATTCGCATTCGCATTCTCTTTCTCTGAACGTTTGTTTCCCCGGGTATAGTCGCCATGTCGGATCGAGAATTCAACTGTGAGTCCAGCGGAGCTTGGCATATTGTTGTACTGCGGTGCTGCAGTGCTGTGTCGCGTTTACTAACTTCCACCACAGCCAACGACGACTTGTCGCTTCCCAAAGGTTCGTACCGTACCGTGTTGTTTCAGTGTGAGCGTACCCAACAGTGGAACACCGACTGATACTCCTCACAGCGACGGTCCAGAAAATCATCACCGAGATCCTACCCCCATCATCAGGCCAAACCTTCTCCAAAGACGCGCGCGACTTGCTTATGGAGTGCTGTGTTGAATTCATCACACTGATTTCCTCGGAAGCGAACGAGATAAGCGAGAAGGAGGCAAAAAAGACTATCGCCTGTGAACATGTTGAGAAGGCGTTGAAGGAGCTTGGTTTTGCCGACTATGTTCCGGATATTCTTGCCGTTGCGGAGGATCATAAGGAACAGTTGAAGGTATGTTGCTCGCGGCACCGGGGATGGGATGAAATGGGATCAATGAATGAATGGAAATGCTGACGTGTGCCTGTCTGTGTTGCGCAGTCCCGCGAGAAGAAACAGAGCAAGATGGAGCAGAGTGGACTTTCCGAGGAAGAATTGCTCCGACAACAGCAGGAATTGTTCCGGTCTGCGACGGAGAAGTATAATCAGGGACCGGAGTAGGCGGATATACACACGCCGTGGATGAATTTATGCTGGTCATAGAGAAAATGGATGGGCGTTTGATGGATTCATGTTGGATTGATTGGATTGAATTGGGTTGGATTTGGTTGGGTTGATGGGAGTCTTGGCTTGGATTTTGCACATTCTATAGCATTTGTTTATGGGCGGTCAATTTATTATATATGCTTCTTGATGCGGATGCCGATTTATATTCTTCTCATTGGCATCTTTGAATATTTTTTTTTTTACAGGCTTGAACTTACTGCAGACGAGGAGGTGGTAGAAGTATACGGGGTTTCCCCGAGATCAACTTGAATGTGGTTACTATGCCACTCTTGATATCATAATCCTCAACCAGCATCAAGTCCTCATCAGCAGAATCAGAGAGCGGAGGCGGCGCGGCGGCTGAGGTGCAGGTCTTTGTGAGTGTAGATCGCCATCACATCCTATCACAGCTCCTCAAACTTGGCCATCTCCCAGATGGGCAGGCTATGGGGGAGCGAGGGGAGGTCTTCTAGGCGCAGGGGGATTGGGGGGCTCTGAAGATCGATCTACGTATTAGTATTCATATTCTATCTTTTCTGTTGGAATTGGATCTGCTGACCTGCGACTTTGGCCCCCGAAGGAAGGTTCTCCTTCTTCTTCTCCTTCTCCTCGCTCGGCTCTCGAGCATTTCCAACCTGGTGTCATTCCCAGCGAATGCTGGGCTGGTACGGGAGAAAGAAGTAGGTATTGATCTCCCGTTCCTTGAATTTCGGCTCCGCATGTGGTCAAAAAGCCGTGCTTGACTTTGCGACTGGGCGGGCATGTTTGGTGGCTTTTGTCCTAGAATAGTGTCAGTAAAAGGTTCCCAAGCGTGGTATATGATACTGTCGGAATTACCTAGCATCGTAGGGCATGGGCATGGGCATGGGAATCGTTAGAAGATCATGTATCGCTTCCGACGGTTGGTTCGCCGTTAACCATGACGTTTCGACCTCTCCCACTGATGCTGGCAAGTCGTTCAAGTCAAGATTCCCAGGATCAGCCAAGGTTGCTTGTGCTGCCCTGAACGCATGCCAACAACTTGAAGCTGGCGCATTTTCTCCAACTGGGTGAAAGCTTGTGCCAACGACGGCGAGAACATATGGAGTTTTCCTCCCGGCATATTTGGCACATTTGCGTGAGATCATAGCGGCATTTCTTGTAAGCCAAGTCTTTGGTCCATCCTGTTTTCGTAGGTCTGCGATCACTTCATGATGGGCAACTCTGGAATGATACGGTGATCGATCGTACGGGGTCGCGGGTTCCCGAAAACGAAGACAAGGTCCTCAGCATCGTATATCGTATCTCGAGAAGTCTTTCCTAGAATAGGATTAGCAAAAATATCTTTGATTTCCATTCTTCATGAATTGAATCTGCTTGCCGGTGAATTCAGGTCCTCTAGGAACCGTCAGTTGAAGCGGTACCAGGCCTAGGGTTTCTCGGTGGTTCGCGAAAGAGAAACTCTGCCAAAATGAAAGTCCGATGCATTCATATACCCCGAGTCCACTCCTGGTTAAAGGAAGAGCCAGAAACCCTCCTGAAATCCAGGCCGAGTTTGTGGAGTTTCACGGTACCGACGTGGGAAACTCCAGCTGGCGAGGGAAGATGTTTATTGGGAGTTTTCATGAACCTCGACTCGGAGATTGATCATATACTGATTTGCCCTCTTCTCTGCCATTTGGCGATGCAGGGTCTTGCTTTTCTTCATATCGAAGAAGTCTTGAAACGGTTGAAGAAAGAATATGGCCAGGGGGGAGAGGAAAGACGAAGATGAGGAAGGAAGAAAGACAATGGACAGGGAGTAGTAGTAGTCAACGGGTATTACGGGTATAAGAAAACTAAACAAACCTCCATGGAACGTGCCTGGGGAAGTCAAAGATACAATTGAGGCAGGCACGTAGGTGCGCAGGCACTGATTTGTCAAAGGTACTTCTGCCCTACTACTACTAGTAGTACCGGTAGTGTCAATAGAAATACTAGTAACACTCCCAGCATAGACTGCATCAAACTTCTAGTACCCATTCCTGGGTGCATGCACACCGTCGTTATCGACAGATATTGTCGTGTGGATTTATGATGGTACGAGTCCTTGCGGGCTGCTTCCAGTATTTGTTCTACAAAAGGGGGGTTCGGAGCAGTTAGCAAGCAGAAAATAGGCCGCATGAAACACCAGCGTCATAAAATGAAGAGCCCTGGTCTCCATTTTGAACTGTAACTTAAATATTGATAAAGCTTAGTAATAGGAACTCAGATGATTGAGATAGTAGTATTAGTACTAGTACCGATGAGTGGATAGGGTTGCATGACTGCCCGGTTGGGATAGTATACATCCGAGTCAGGTTTACCTCGAACTTCAAGAGTCCCAATGTTCTCAATCGTTTAGAAAATTACAAGGCGGGTTGATTGGTGTATATATACTACTAGGAGAAACGAACTTGAATCAAAGTTGAATTGAAATATTATGGTGTGATAGTACTGTGTTCAAATTCTATCCCAAGTAAATAAAGTGCCCTTGTAAATAGTACTAGCAATACTATATCTCGGGAGTTGGGAGTCAAGACAAAGAAATTAAAGGGTTCCGCAGAAACTAGGGTGGGGGCGGGGGATAGGGAAGCGATATTATAATTAAGCTTTAGCTGCGAATGTCCAGGTTACTTGAAAATAAAAATGAATAGATACGAGTAGATAACTTGTATACTAGTAGTGAATGTGGAAATCGTACTCTGTGCAGTATGTACTGCTGGTGGGGCAAGTACAAACGGAGCAAACACGTGACGTGTTGTTGTTGCTGTCTGACATAAGCACACCTGCCCCACATTCACCTCGGATAAACTCACCTCGGACAAACTCACTTCGGAACGGACCTCGGATAAACAAACCACCGACAGTACCTCGGCTCAAAGTATCACCGCTCCGACACGATGCCGCTTACGAGACAGCAAGCCTCTCGTAATCAGCGCGGGAGAGCTCGCGCCCAGGAAACTCGCGATCAGCTTCAACCCGCTAAGAAATCTCGTGGACTCGTCCCCGGTGAACGCAAATTCGCCCGTCGCAATCCTCCTCTCCCACTTGACCATTTCCTCTACCCTGGTCGGGAAGCCCATCCAATGGCTCCGTTCAGAGATGAACACCTCGTGGTGCGTCAAATCTCGAACTATCTGCTGTGGAAATCTACCTTAACTGACACCTGCTAGCTCATCGCGCCCGGTTCTGAATTGACCCTCGCGCAACTCGGTCTCCCGGAAGCATATTGCCCAGCCAAGCTTCGCCTGCAGACGCGCATGTTCCCAGCTGAAAAGCCGGGCGAGTACGAGCCTCATCGCATCCGCAAGGTGACCACAACTTCAACCTCTACCACCGCTCCTACCACCACCCCCGGCGCGTCTGGACAACCTCCCAAGGAGGATGTCGAAATGAAAGACGATGGAGCTTCTGCTCCTCGCGAGGAAACCGCCGAAGGCACTGAAAAGGCCGAGACAGAGCCTGAGCCTGCGCAAGAAGTCATCTACGAGGAAGATGTCATGTCCGACGAGGGCGCCGTCTACCCCATCCGGGATGGTCGCATTGTGAACCGAAACGCCCTCTTCGCCCTCATCCAGCATGTCTACAACCTGCTCAGTCCGCCACTCCACACACCCATCCTCATTGTCGCCCAGCCCAGCTGGACCCAGACAGACCGAGAGGAAATCACCCGTTTCGTCTTCGAACATTTCAGCACCCCGGGATTCGCGTATGTGGACGCTGCTCTCGCTACCGCATGGGGCTACGGCGTCCTGAATGCACTTGTCATCGACGTTGGCAAGACCAAGACTGATGTGAGCGCGGTCATCAACTCTGTCCCTCAGAGGTACGGTCGAGGTATCGCTCTATCTGGATGTGGCGGTGATGCCATGACTGATCGCCTCCTTGAACTTCTCGGATCGAAGGGCTTCACTCGCGAGATGTGTGAGCAACTCAAGAGAAGCGATATCGCCGAGATTCTTCCCCCTGGAACTGCTCTTCCCGGCGCTGCGGCTACTGCTCACCAGAGCACCCCCGCTGTCCATCCTGGAGAGTCAGCTGGCGGTAACTTTGCCCCCACCGAGGGTGCCTCTGACAACAACGGAACCGATGAGGGTGTCCTGGATGTTGCGGCCATCGTTAGTGGCGACACTTCCGAGTATCTCGCAAACATGGAGAAGGACAAATCAACCGGCAAGAAGGTTGACCCCAAGCAGCCCAACGCTCAGAAGGAGCGGGCCTCTTTCCAGTTCGAAGAGTTTGTCGAGATGGAGAACGATGCTCAAGCTGGTGGCTCCAAGCGCTACAAGCGCAACACTCGGGAGATCACCGTTGGCGTCGAGCGTTTCCTGGCAGCAACTCCGCGCCAACGTGCCGGACCTCTCCTTAGCAATGGTATTCTGGAGGATATTGCATCCCAGGTTCAATACGCGATCAATTGCTGCCCCAACGATAAGCGAAACGAACTGTGGAGCAACATCATCATCGTGGGAGCCGGCAGCAGAGTCCGAGGTAAGCTTCCCCAGATCACATCTTTTTTTATTGACCCTAGCTAACCATTCCGCAGGTTTCAACCAGGCTCTTCTCGGAGCGATTACGCAGAAGTTCTTGAACTCTCCCTCTGCCTCCATCTTCACCTCGGAAATTCCATCCACCTTCTCCACGCCTCTCCCCACCGGCGGAACCAACACGCCCGCCCAAATGGGCCCGGGCCAAGCCCAACCAAGCCTGCAACACCACCCTGCTGCTCACGGATTGAACCCCCTTCTGGTCGCTGCCACGCACAACAATCCAGGGATCCCTGCTGCTCCTGGCACCCCTGGCATGGACCAGGGCCAGCAGCACCGAGCCGGTCACTTCCAAGGGCCCACCGTCATCAAGGCCACCAAATTCCCCGAATACAACTCCGAGTTCAAGGGTCGTCCGAACAGCAATGCTCCCGGCGCCAGCTCGGGTCCTGGAAGCACCTCTCGGGGCGGACACGGCCCTGAGGAAGCAGCTTTCCTGGGTGCCCAGGTCTGTGCCAAGATCTTCTTCGTGATCGATCAAGGCCAGCTCAAGACCTTCATGGCTCGGTCTGAATACAACGAATTTGGTCCGGAGGGCATGGGCGAGTTCTGCATCGCATGAGTGGTGGCGGCAGCGAAGCGACGGCGTGGTGCACCTCGAGTGCGAGCGAGAAGGGCAAGGCGTTTGTTTTCCGGCGCGCATGAATGTACGACTCAGCGATCTTTTTTTTTCGAATTTTGTTCCCATCTTCTTTTCGATGTTCTCTTTCTTCTCTCCGCCGATTTCGATTCGACTTCGATTACGAGTTCCGTCTCATCTATCATCATCATCTCTTATCATCTCTTGTCGAAAAAAAGATCTCCTTTGGCGCATGGAGTTGACATACCTACCCTTTGGTTTTGTCCGGCTTTTTTTTCTTCTGATTTCCTTTGTTTTGTACCTTTTCTCCACTTTTTTCGGGTCCCTTTCATTCGAGATTTCTTTTCTGTTTTAGATCGGAGATTTCCTTGGAGATGTGACCAGACCTTGTTTTTCTTTCATGTATGATGGGCCACCGGAGCATGGGAAGTGACTTCAGGTGGGATACTCCCCGAAGAGAGAACAGCCCGCCGATTCTCCTGGCTCTCGCGGCTGAGAGATGGAAATCGGCCTGGCTCGATGGTAGATACGCTTATCCTAGCAATAACACTATCTACCTTACTGCTTTATTCTAGACAGAGTATCACCGTAGCCATTAATTCATTCATGTCTGAAGGCATTGCCATTGTAGCGCTTTCCACCACTTGATATCAATCACGTGCCCACTCTTATCGCCACTGCTCAGATAAGCATCGGCCATCGCGGACTTTCCCTGTCACCTTAAACCTTTCTCCAATCCTCACTTCACCCTACCCAAATTACAAGCCAAAATGCCAAAAGCAGAAGCCGGCTCAACAAAAGCCATAGCAAACGCCAGCAGAAGGAAAGGCCTCGGCCGACTGCGGTAAGTCTCCCGCGAGCGCAGCGCAGGACAGCACCTCCGCTCGCTCCGCTCCCTGCTACATATTCTACACTTCCTCCGACCACAAGCTAATCTAACACCTGGATTACAGATGGTACTGCCAAGCCTGCGAAAAGCAATGTCCGGACGAAAACGGCTTCAAATGCCACGTTCAAAGCGAATCCCACGTCCGCCAGATGATGCTGATCGGCGAAGACTCGAAATCGCATATCGAGGGCTTTAGTCGGGAATTCTCGAAGAATTTTATTGATACGCTTCGCACGGCGCATGGGACGAAGAGTATTCATGCTAATCATTTTTATCAAGGTGGGTGGCTTTCCCCGCAGACATGGCCAGGCCAAGCCAAGCCAGGCAAGGATGATTCTAATGCTAATGGTGATGCTTTACAGAAATCATCCGCGACAAATCACACATCCACTTAAACGCAACGAAATGGAAATCTCTCACGCAATACGTCGCATACCTAGGCAAAGAGGGAATCTGCAAAGTCGACGACACGGAGAAAGGATTGCATATTGCCTGGATTGATAATTCGCCTGAGACGTTGCGGAAGCGTGAGGCGTTGCTTAAGAAAGAACGCCAGGATAAGGGTGATGAGGAGAGGGAGCAGAAGGCTATTCGGCAGCAGGTTGAGAGGGCGCAGAAGCAGGCGAGGGAGAGGTTGGAGGCGGAGGAGAAGGAGGCGAGGTCTGAGGAGAAAATGTTGCAGCATGATGGGGAGAAGGTTAAGCTTGATTTTGGATTTGGGCTCAAGCAGCAGCAGCCGGTGGATAAGACTGAAGTTGGTGGTGATGCTTCTGTGGAGTCGGCGAATGCTCCGGTTGAAGATACTGCCACGCCCACGACCACAGCTACAGCTACAGCTACAGCTACAGCTACAGCTACGCCTGTGACGACGGCGGATTCCCCAGCCGATCCACCCGCCGCCCCGAAAATCTCAATGTCCTTTGGAGCGCAAAAGCCGAAGAATGTGTTTGCGTCTGGTCCGAAGAAGAATCCGTTGGCCGGGAAGAAGGGCTCTGTTCTGGCGGCGCCGAAGAAAATGTCTGAGCAGGAGAGGATTATGAAGGCTGAGATGGAGGCAAATGAGCGTAAGCGCTCGAAGCCTGGGCCGGAATTCAAGCCTGGTTTGAATAATAAGAGGCCGAAGATCTCTTTGTCTTAGATGGGGGCCTCGATGTGATTTACACTTCCTTGACTCAGGGCGAACTATGAGTTGCGGGACTTGATTTGATTTGCTTTTTGCTGGCATTGGATATGCATATACCCGGAATTGATAAATGGTTTTCTTTTTCTTTTTCTTTTTTATATAGTGACTTGCATGTATCGGGGTGCTGCTGATCTGATAGGATAAAAGGAGGATTGTTAGTATAAGAGCATTTACAGGAATCAAAGACAAGCCATTTACTTATTGACATAAAAAGATGAATTGTATCTTAGTGGTAACTGATAAATAGAGTCCTCCCAACGGCTCGGAGTCCATTAAAGTCACAATCGCGAATCCAGTCACTAACTAAACCTTGCTGATTAATTCCCAGCCCACCAGGTATAATTCCCCGTCTCAGCAGGTGTATCAAAAACAAGCAGCGAGCTACTATTCTTCGGCCGATCAGGCCAAACATTAAGCAATCCATCCCAAATCTCAAGCCTAGAGTACTCGACATCAACACCCTCCCCAGCAAAGAAGGAAATGCCCGTACTATCCTCGCGACTAGGATAAATGCGGCTCGTCAGTGCGAAGCGATCATTGGCATAAACCTCGATTAGAGAACCATCCACGAAGATCGTTAGATCAATGGTCTCGGCGACAGAGGAAGTATTCTTCTGCGCAATCTGATACGGCTTGAAATATCCCGCATGAGTGTAATTCGTGAATTCCTTGATAAGAGATGAATGCGCGCGGTCGACACAGATTGTGTTATTCCATGGATCGAAGTAGATATTCGTGTATTCTTCACGATTGGGCGATGCCCCGATTGTGATACCCGCCACGCCGGTGGTGCGTTTGATGCTCAGACTGAGTTGGTAGGAGTTGGAGGGGTGGTTTGGTAGTTTGATTTGGTCTGTCTTGCAGCTTCGCGCGGTGCAGGGGTATTTTGTGTGTTTTGAGCCGTGCTGGAGACCCTTTACGACGTCGGGTGCTGGTCGGACGCCGAGCGTGCTGGCTGTCCATGTTCCATTTGCGCTTTTGAAGAAGCGTGCGTTGCCGAGGGTGGTGTCTTTGGAGGAGGAGGAGCTCCGCAGCACGTTCTGAGTGTCTTGGATGAAGACTTCTCGTGGTAGAGCGAATGCGCCTTGGTAACCTTGTTGAACGGCGCCGAAGTCGTTGAGATCTTCTTGCGCCCAGCCCCATTGGATGCGGCGGTTGTTCTTTGTGTCGTTGAAGGATGAGATCTGAACGAGTTAGAATATTGAAATTCGTGATAGTTTCATGCTGAAGCTTACTGCGTATAACATGCCCCAATCACTGGCACCGCCAGACACTGGCTCAAATGCAATGCTTCCATTTGACCGGACGGATATTGTACCCTCATTCCAGAGAGACCACTTGTTCTGGTGGAAACTCACGTTGCCTCCCTCTGCACCCATGCTGACGAAGTAGCGATCGCCAATAGAGAAGAAGTTGGACAGCTCGAAGTTGAATCCGTAGGATCCGGTTTCCTCGATACTACCCAGAGAGGTATTCTTCTCTGGTTCCCACAGCGCGCCCATAAAGGTCCAGTCCGTGAGATCGGAGGCTTTAGCTTTGTACAGAGGCATACGCGGACCGACTTCGCGGATGCCAGAGCCAAAAACGGCATAAAAGTGAGGCTCGGTCGCGTTGAGGATTTTGTCCATCTCTGGCCACGAGACGAAGTATGGATCGCGCCAGCCAGTGACGTTCCAATTTCCTGGTGGTTCACTGATGACTGGGTTGTTCTTGTAATCTTCCCATGTTTTTCCACCATCAGTGGAGTACGCGAGAGCCTGACTTTCTGTTCCGCGAGCGTAGGGCGTGTTCCATGCTGTTGGTAGGCTGGAGGCGCCGGTGTAGAAGAGTAGGATTGTGCCGTCAACTTCACCGGATAGATTGACGGGCTGGGCACCACCTGAGAAGATGGCGAGGTGGTTGTATAAGGCCGGATTGTGCTTGCCACTCCCTGTTGAATTGGTTGTTCCGATAGACTGCGCTTCGGAATCCTTCCAAGCTGGAATATCGTTGTCGTAGTGGTCAACATCGGTCCAAGTTATCAGGTCCGGACTGGTGGCATGGCCCCAGGAGACGTTGCCTATGGGAGTTAGATTGTGGATTGAATGAGTTGGAACAAGTATGTCATACCCCAGCCGATATGGTTTGGATGGAATTGATAATGGAGATGGTAAAGTCCGCGTACAGGATCAAACATCGGACCACACGGATCCTAATTAATTAGTGTGATTCGACTAATACTCCATGGGAAGGACTTCCTACATTCATCCATCCTGCCGGCGCAAGAAAATGAGACGTTGGCCTCCAACGCTCGAAGAGGGTATTATTGTCCATTTTCTCGATTGACTCAGCTGTGAGGGTATGTTGTCCCCACACCGGGGCGACAGAAAGTGCCGCGCCCAAAACACTCAACTTCATCTTCATCTTGATTTTCTGTCGTGGGGTATTCTAGAAGACAACCGATTCAAACACGCGGAGTCGTTCTCTTATAATGCACTTCGATATGCACATTGCGGCTTTTAGTCGCGATATCCTCGGGCATTTTGTTCTTAGCACTTGGGGTGGAGTGGGCGGGGAGCTTCCTCGGACAGATATAAAGACTAAACTCTTAGTGCTTTCCTCCGGATGCGGAGGTATTGCCACTAACAAGTTTATGGTAAAGGTGCCTGCCAAGATGTAGCTTGTCGTCGAATCAAGTTCTCGGGAATTGTCCGAGGATATTCCTGAGAATCTCCACCAATTCGCCGAGATCGATGATCATCCGCGTATATTACTTGAAATGAATGCGAGGAAATGAAGACAAGGAATTAAATTGTCGCATATAATATAAAATCGAAGTTTCAGGGACAGGGAGTTGTCTCATACTGAAAGTTCTAGTACTAAGTAAACAAAACTCGTATGACGTCATCATATAGAAGCATAGCAAAGATTCAATGCAGCAATTCACAGCAGCAAGGCCAATTCCATTGACAGAATAGTCGCCTTGAAAGTTTGAAAAAAGACACCCGATACTCAGGTATCAATTTAATGGGCTTCTCCACCAGAGTTCAAAAAATGGGGTTAAACATCTCTGGATTGGGGATTGGCATGAAAACTTACACTCAGAGACCCGAAATCTTCACTAACAAAAGGGAAGAGGGCCGAGTGGCATATCCTGCATTTATTAAGACCACCCAAAGCTCGACAAGAGCTGCAAAAGACGCTCATTTCCCCATCTGGCATCTCAGCGCTTGATCCTTTGTCTGCAGAGCAGGTTCTTAGTTTACAATGGCAGCTGACCCTAGGGACCCGTGTTTTGGACTCATCGAAAGATGAGCTCGCTAATGTCGTGAACCAGCAGGGAAAGGTGGCAATCTTCCATCTCATATGCGCAAGGCGCTCGTCGACCAGTCAATTGAATGGCTTCCATGGTTCATAGAGAGTAGGAGGGGCTTGAGCACAAAATCATGCTTGCTTGTCAAATGTATAGAATTTTTGCAGACACAAAAGTGTACCACTTCAGCTATTACAGGGCTCCATAAGCGCAGGGTGCTCAGTAGTTGTATATAGGGGTATTTTACCTAATCGTCTTGAAGGCTGCCTGTAACTTTGGAGTCTAAAATTACTAGTGTTCTAATCGCCCTAGTCTCTATCTTTTATAGGGGACTAGTACCTACTTAAGAAGTAATATATTAGCTATTTTGTTCTATCTTAGACAGGTACTAGTCAGCTATTCAAAGATATCTAGAGAACACTAGTAATTTTAGACTCCAAAGTTACAGGCAGCCTTCAAGACGGTTAGGTAAAATACCCCTATATACAACTACTGACCACCCTGCGCTTATGGAGCCCCGTAATAGCTGAAGTGGTACTCGATTCCTTAAGCCTCTTCAATAGTTCTATGCAAGATCTGAAGCGAGCGGCTTATGTTGAGCCGATATGCATCCGTACATCATCCTCAGGTGACACCAGCAACCATAGAGAGATAGCATGAAAGTGACCCCAGTGGAGAAAAAGCAGATACGAGGAACATTATTATTGGAATATATCATTCTGGTTATAGTTTTTCTTTTCCGTGGTTGAGTGTTTTTCTTCTAAAATAACCCGAGTCAAGCTGTAGTTGTTATAGCGGTGTGGCCAAGATCGTTAAGGTGAACTTAGCTTCAGTAACCTCAAATTGGAGATTACCCAACTGCGGAACAAAATGAAATTGACGTAACACAAGGTCGGCCAGGGCATGTAAACTAGAAGCATCTACACGTGCCAGCCCTGGAGGTTTGGGGTTGCACAAATCTGCGCCACATTACACTATATGTACCCCGTAGGAACTACGTTTCGGATCTATCTAAAGAATCTGTGATCAGGCACAAGAATTCTTATTCGCGATAGGAACACTTACTGGGCTCACGAACCAAGATCGAGTATTCATGTTGGCACAGCATGAGATGCAACAGCAATGCACTCAATTAAAATGCCGTGGAATGCCAAATGTGTAACCATTTCAATCCCAAAGCGTGATCAAAGCTCCCGCAGGAATGTGCCGCCCAATCAGCGTGGGCTTCCGGAATATACATATTATGGTTTCTGTCAATTAGCAGTGCCCAGGTTCTCACTGAAGTATAGAAACCGGAAACGACGAAAAAATATAAATAAGCAGTCGCCGAGCAACAAAAGAAGGACATCAACAAGCGATTCATAGATCGCCTTTTCTTGATACCTTAAAACTAAATCTTCACCTTGTGTGCTTGACTGAAAATGCCTTACATCGCTCGGGTGGACGAGCTTCCCGAAATTGCCCTGAGGGGCGGGCTTGTTGATCCCCGTGCTGATCACCAGCATTCTTTCAACAAGCGGATCTCCTGTCGCGACGTGACTGACTTCATTTCCAACACCGCCGAGGTATCGCCTCTGGAGCTGCGTGACAAGAAGGCTGCTGCTCGGCACTCCGTCGATAACAAGTCTCGGCTCTACAAGATCCTCGCTCGCACCAATGAACTCAACCGGCCTTTTTCAGTCCGGGGTGCTGAACAACCCATCTCCGACTTGCTTCCTGGTATGGTCGTCAGTGGTGGTCTGAGTCGCTCGCCCGCTTTCGATTGCATCCCCGTCGTCTCTCACTGGGGTGACCGCACCGACGAGTTCTCTGCTGAAGATCCCAATGCCACTGTCAGCCTTACTTCCACCTGGAATACGGTTCACGTCCGTGGAGAAGGAGCTGTGAGAGATTCTCCTCACGGCGCTGCTTGCTGGGCACTTAAGACCCATGGCATTAGTCCTATTGAGCCTGGCACACCGAAATTCAGACAGCAGTACGATTCTGAGAACGATACTCTGACGACAACTGTCAACCTTGCCCGTCGTGCCGACACTGATCTGACTAAAGGAGTACTTGGTGCCGCTTCGAGCATATCTTGGTTGCGTAACGCACGCGTTGCGGATGCCGTTGACTGTGCAGTTGGCCTACTGGCCGACTCCTCTGTCCTTTTGCAAGCTCGTGACAAGGTCGTTACTACCGGCAAAACTGAACGCCTTGACTTTGCCGAAGTGCGCCAGGTTGAGATGCCCACTTGGGCCACTGCTCGGAAGCCCCTGGCTCCAAAATTGAGTGGCGTAGCAGACTCCACAGACCAGGTTACGGATGACCTTTTTGCTGCAGAGCTGTGCGAAGGTCCTGTTATAAATTGCTCCATATTCTCTATGAGTTTAGGGTACAATAGGTACTTCTCCCCTTCCTTTTGATCTCCCCTTATCCTATTTCTACACGGCGCGCGGCTAGCAGAGTCGCAGGGTGGCCCTGCCACCTATACACTCATTTCCACATATTCTAACCATTTCTAGGGGTGTGTATGGCGGATCTATCTCTGGCCTGTGGTCTATCATGGACTCTGCCTTTGTTCTTGATTACTCCATTGGTGTTCACAACTCTGCGGTCTCGGACAGACTTTCATTTGCTTTCGCTGAAGTGACTGCCTCTGCTGAAGCATCTGCCTCTGCTGGCCCGCATATCGATGACATCCGAATTGTCAAGGGATGCAACTACGGATGCCTGCGCCAGAAAACCATCATCGAGGATGACGACCCCATTGATTCCGCCCCATGCATGGTTATCTGGAATGACCTCGATCGCCTTGCCCGTTACAAGCTCGCCGATGCTGTGTTCTGCCACGTATACTATGACTCCGGTGGTGGCGAACAGATGGCTGCCATCGCTGGTCTTGGTTGTGTTGCTCATGACTGGATTGATCTTGGACCTGATATGATGTGTGGAGAGGTTAGCAACATCATTCCCTCGTTGACCCGCGGCTCCTTGGAGGAAGGCCCTCTGTCTGAGGTCTACGCACGCTTGATTGGTGCTATGATCTGGTACCGAAACAATGATCCCTACAACCCAGCAGCTCTCTGTCTCTTGTTCACTCACTGGTGGCAACTCTCCAACTGCCGCCATCGCCCCATCACTCTCCTTGGTCGGACTGACTTTGATGTCAACGCGGCTATCGCTCCTATCATGCCGGAAGGACGACCAGAGCTTGAGCATTTCCGTTCCAACGGTACCAGGGTCGAGCGTGGCAACGGTCCTCTTTCTAGCGCTGAAGCACGTCTCAACGACCTCGTTTCCAGCGACATGTTGCCGGAGACTCGCTCTGTTGTTGAGCATTTAGTCAACCCCGTTATCGCCTACGTGAAGGGTGCTGATACTCTTCCCACCGAGAACGAATTCGTCGGAATCGTCCTCGCAGCTGACCTGGCCTATCCCCATGGACAGAAAATCATGGAGCTTTGGGACCTTGCCATTGTCATGTGGGAGTGCGGCGCAATGTGGGGGGCTGGTATCGCAGGCTTGTGCTACTCCCATTCTGGCAAGGTAAATGCAGACAGAGCGCGTCATGATTTGGCTGATCACACCTGGAGCTAAACTCATTGCTATCGACAAAAGTCGAGTGCACTCATGAAGAATGGTCCTGAAAATGGATCTGCACGGGATATGACTTTTCACGATTATGCTGAATCCATAATGAATAGTGGATATTGAAGACGTTTCGGTTTTTAATTTACAAGATCGCAGAGGAATAAGTCTATATTCTTGTATATAGGCCTATACCACTATCACTATCACTCTTTACTCAAATGAAAGCAAATATGCCAACTTGAAGCAAATTAAAGCCTGACTTTCCGTAACTGGGCTACTTTACAGCGCTCCGTAGTGGCAATTGGCCTAGTGGTAGTTGTCAATTCCAACTGGAGCAAAGGTTTTGTGACCTACTATTTCAATGCGCAACTCAAATATCGATTCGGTTTTAAATCCTATCCGGGTTCCTACCCGAGTACACTTACCGGTAGCTTCTAAGGTTCCCAATGTCAGGTATGCTTTACAGTACTACCTAGGGGAGGATTAGGCCTTGTCTTTAGTTTATCTCTGATTGAAGATTGGGTATATTATAAATATCATTATCTATTACTCTACACGCAACTTGGAGTTCTACAGGCGGGTGCTGGGACGTTCAGCTGAAATTGCAGACCTACTGAGCCGGTTGCTACTAGCTATGGAGCGCCGCAGACACCCCAAGTTTGACAAGATTCTTCTCCAGGGAAAAAAAAATTGATTAATCAGAGCCTGTAGAGTATAAACGCAGATTGTATTCTTTCTAATTACAAACAGACTCAGGCTAATATGGAGTCAAAATAAATATAAGTTTAGATATATGAGAGGAAAATGAATGACGCGGCCAAAACGAATGCCAAGAATGAGCAGAAGAGAAGAAGAGACAAAGTGAAGGACAAATTATCCTAGGATAATTGAAAAAGAGAAATTGAGGAATATATGGCTTATGTACGGATTCATGACCATGTTTCGTCTAGGTAGTGCCAGAGGTCTTGTTTCCTTTGGGTACTCGCGCCAACCAATAAATGAACACAGCACCGCAGATATTGAACGCAATATAGACCCACATGAGTCCGAAGTTACGCCAGGCGGTATCAAACGAAGATCCAATCCGTGCAAGGAAGGCATCGGTCTTGCTGATCGTGCAGAGCGAACAGTCAGATAGTGCCTCGGGGTTAAGGATGTAGCCCGTTCTGACAGCGGATATGTATGGATTCAAATACTCTCCACAGGTTTGATTGAATGGCGGGGAAAGTTTCAAATACTCCACTGCTTCGCATCTTGCATCGGCTCCTGCCAACGCTGTCGACAACATGCCTGACACAAGGTAGGTGAATGGGGAAATGCGATACATGAAAACCCAGAACCCTGGTAGGGCCTCTTTCGTTGCGAGAACACCACAGAAAATGAGACACAGCGAAAAGAGCATTGTCGCAATATTTCCGCCGGTTTCCGCAAGCTCAATGCCTGCGATAACCATATGCGCAAACGTTGATGTGAAGAGAAGAAAGGTCCAGATAAAAAGAAACATCAGAGCACCGCGTTCATGAAGTGTGCCTTCGGGTGCGTTGTTGTATAAACCAATCGGATAATACCAGCAAAAGAATATCAAAGCAGCCATCAATGTATTCCAAGGGAGCTCTACAATGATATTAGCCGCCATGAATGCCTTCCAGCTGTATGCCTTGGAGGGCCTCTCGCGGACCTCATATAGCGACCGCTGTGTGACAAAGTTTGGCATAATTTGTTGTACCAGGTTGCCGAAGATTGTCATTAACATGAACACGCTAAACATCTGGTTTTGCAGTCCTTGAATTGAGTTTGAAGCATGGAAAAACAAAAAGCCGATATATAATGAGGTCAAAACACAGAGCGCTGCCTTTGACCAAATATAAGTCGGACTTCTGTAATACTGGGCAAAGACGCGAACCAGACATTCGTAGAGTTGAATATAGAAGGGAGCGGCAAACTCCGCGTACGAGCCAGGGCCGGATTCTTCTTGAGGCTTAGCAGAAAGTGTTTCTTTTAGCTGGCCCAGATGTTCTTTGACCTTGCCATACTCAGAGCTCTCTCGCCAGACCTTTGGCCATTCAATCTCACTGTGGGAACCAGGGGCAGCACCAATTACTTCTAGCATCCATTCTGCAGGGTTTTCGCCAGGAGATAAATGATGTGCGCCGTTTCGTTCGAAATAATCGGACAATGTCTTTGAATTTTCACCAATTTCGCCAAAGTATATGGTTTTACCACCCTCGCCAAAAACAACAATCGATCGAAACGTTGAAAGAGCATTGCGGAGGGCTGATGAATCGTGCAGAGAATTGCTTGACCATGTTTAGTCAATGTATCGATGAGGTCCAAGATCGACCATGATGTTTGGCTATCCAATCCACTGGTGGGCTCGTCCAGGAAGAGTAATAGTTGAGGCTTAGCTGCAAGCTCAACGCCAATTGTCAAACGTTTGCGTTGTTCCACATTGAGTCCTTCGCCAGGAACGCCAACCACAGCATCCGCGTAAGCGCTCATGCCTAGAAGATTGATTACTTCATCCACATAGGCGATCTTTTCCTCATGGCTGACTGATGCTGGCTGGCGTAGGACGGCGCTAAATTCCAAGGCCTCTCGGACGGTTGATGTAGGCAAATGAAGATCTTGCTGTTGAACATAGCCTGTTTTTCGCTGAAATGATTGATCGCGGGGCTGACCATCCACAAGCATTTGGCCTGTAACAACCCCCATAGTGACTCTGGTGGCAAGAACATCGAGCAGCGTGGTTTTGCCGGCACCCGACACGCCCATCAGGGCGGTACACGTTCCCGGCTTCACCCATCCATCAACGTTGTCCAAAATCCGCCGAGGCTCGCCTTTGATTTTGATATCATAGCAAACATCCTCCCACTGAAAAATAGCTGTCTGACGCTGAATAGCCGGGGATTCAGGGTTTGTTTCGTCGGTCTTTTCATTCGTATTAGGCATGGGGGACGATTCGGCGTCTGGCTCTCCACCAACATACTTCGGTTGATGTCCTTGACGAAACAGCAGAACCTCACCCTTGGACTTTGATTCAGAGATGTACTCAGTACCGATGAGATAGGTAGCCATGAAGAACACCATAAAAGCAACCAATATGCCGAAATTTCGCCATAGGTGCGCCTTTGAATATTGGTAGCTCAGCTCGATGTAGAGAGATCCAGAGACCTCTGAAGATCCAGACAATGCCCCGACAGTAGAGCAGATTCTATTTTCCATTGAGAGACCATCATAGACGCCGCCAGAAGGCACGATTGCTGCACATGGAAATGACCGGCCATGAAACTCATTGACCATGAAACTTTCAAATGCATAAGCAATCGGGTTGATATAATTCATCCACCTCGACCAGCCAAGCATGTTAGTAGTAGGTATAACGAAGCCCGTATACACCACTAGCCCCAGTATCAGAATCGCAGCAGGGACCAAAGCCTGACTGAGGTTTCGCGAGGTGGCCGCAATCGTACGGAAGATCATAGACATTGTAAACGTAGTAGCGATGGAGAACAGCCAGAACGTGAAGAAAGCTCCGGGCTCTTGACGGAGGTTCGTCATGAAGTAGAGAGGTATGTTGAAGGTAACCGAATTGATAAGTTTGTAAGGCACGTCACAAAGCATTGATGCAACCGCTTCAGCACAGGGGTGATAAAACGCGAATCTTGACTGCTTTTCAACGATTGGTCGTTGAGCATAAAGTGTGAGAATCTCCAACGCGCTGGAGAAGGCATTGAGCAGAACGGCGAAGAAGAGTAGAGCACCGCGGCTGTAAAAGCTCTGAGTGTCGTTAGGTAGCCGATAGAAGATTGAACCCAAGATCAAAGCTAGGCTTCCGTTGCCAAAAAGTGAAGTTAGGGTTAAGCTGGCATCAGCCCGTAGACGTTGAAACCCCCGTACGGTACATATTTCGAACTGCTTTCTCAACGAGATAGTGTAGGGAGATCCAGAGCGCTGATGCTTTGCCTGAATAGTTCGGTGGGCGTTGACAAATTTACCGTAAGAGTCACCACCAATTGGATGCTCACCCTCGTATTCTTCTATCTCTTTTAGAAGCTTCGCACGCGCAGGACTCGATTTCCAGGCTGCTGCAAGTTCATCCGGTGTCTGTGGTACGCGACCTTTGAACTCTGGACGAACCTGTCTTTCCGAAGGACTTGTGATGGATGTGAGAAAGTCGGCAGTTGTTTGGCGACTAGGGCAATCAAATCCCATATCCACAAAGTATTGCTTTGCTTCCGTTGCAGGCCCAAAGTAAATTTGGCGGCCCTCATAAAGCAAAGTGACTTTGTCAAAAACGTCATACGCGGATTGAGAGGCTTGATAAATCGCGACGCACGCAGCCGTACCTGAGTATTTGCTCATCAGGGCCAGATTTTTGCAAAATTCAAGGGCGTTGGCACTGTCAAGGCCGCGAGTGCTGTTGTCCCAGCACTGCAATGGACTCTGACTCAATGTGATCTCCGCAATACTGACGCGTTTTCGTTCACCACCACTGACGCCGCGAATAAAATCATTTCCAACGCGCGTGTTCACAGTGTGAGACAGGCCGAGCATTGCCATTACGACATCTCGCATATGTTCAGCGTATTGTTGGGTACTTATCCCATCGAAGCGGTTGTGGGGGGCTCGAGCCAGGGCAGCGAACATGAGGGTGTCTCTGCATAATCAAAACATTAACTTAGAACCGAGGTTGCAGGTGGGTGGTAGAGTTGAGTTGCCTTACCCCACGCTTAATTGTGGAAAGTGAACTTCCGTCTCAGCTGAGTAGATAGCTTCCCCTTTGAAGTTCTTCTGCATTTGCTCTGCCGATATTCCTAAAGAGTCGAAGAGGTCAGTGTATGGCGTAGAATTGCTGATTAGAATCAATTCACCTTCATAGTTTAACACAGACTCCTCAGACATTGAGATGCCGCTCATTTCGCCAGCGATTGTTTTGAGAAGAGTGGAACATCCAGAGCCAGGCTTTCCCAGCACAACAAGCATCTCTCCACTTTTCACAAGGCCGTCGAACTCGCGAAGAATTTGAATCTTCTGGAGCTTTGAACCAAGCAGGCGTCGTATCATGGTTCCAATCTCAAATAGACTGTTCAAAACGTCCTTCTGGTAATCAGTGGGCGATCCGAATCCATGTACGCTCAGATTCCTGAACGATATACCCGCGGTCCGATTAGGGTACGAATCAGGATCACGGGAGCGAAATAGCTAAGAGATTCTTCATCCAGCTGCGCACACTGAAATTGGGACTGTTGGGGTTGACAGCTGAGTCGGTATTGTCGCTGGTGAATGGGTTCTCAAGATTGCCGCTGACGGAGTATCGAGTCGAGTGTCTGGTCAGCTGTCGAACAAGCGAGCCCACCCTCTCTTCAATTTTCTCTTCCTCTTCCAGGAGTGTAGCACCACTGTTGCTCTTTTCAGACTCCTCATACTCGTGGTGGACATACGGTCCGTCTCCTTCCTCTTCCCCAGGAGAAGGCAATTGAGGCATATTGTGGCTAACAACGGATTGAGACCGGGCCATGTTGGGATTAATTGTCCCTAAGAGAGACATATTGCAGTACCAAGCCTCTCCGCGGGCAAAAATCGCACAAGAAGCAGAAAAGGAAAAGTTGGGCAGACAAAGAAAGATATAGAAAAGAACAATCGACTGAGAAAGTATAAATACTAATACGGCCACGCCAGATCCGACTCGGTTTCGGATCAAGGGTTTCAGCTCCAGGCTTCAACAGATGGCAAATAAATACACGAAATAAAATAAAAAATCCAGTTTGGGTGATGGATGTGGCTCATTGTGTATATTGGCCAGCATAGATCACAACCGGGATCTCTTTTGGTGCATATAGCACCTCCGGCGGTCCGACTAAAGAATTTCGGGATAGACGGATGCCATAGGGCTGTCATATCTTTAATAAAAACCTCCGGATTGCCGCGCCCAGTTTTACAATTGGCGAAATCGAAACCCGTTAGCCATAGAAGTTGATTGGCAATCGGTCGCCAAGAGATCTATTGGTGTTATGCACTGCGTTACATTATTTATGTGCATAACAGCAATCATAGATTCATCATCGCGATAACCTTGCTCTTAGTATATTTTTGCCGAAAAATACTTTATGAACTGTGAGTTTCCCCTCATTTATTGGCCAAGTTTTGTCGAGGAACCCGGCGTTGCTCTCGGGAGATGGGCTTCTCTCTACCGATACGCTCTCGGATGTGGGTTTTACCGCATCAATACGACCGCTCTAGCACTTCCGGCATCCGAGACTCTTTAGGATTCGTCTGACCAGGATTTAACCGTTGGGCCGATGACTATCTTAGTTAGATTCTGTAACGCGAATGTTAGGGTTTGGTTTCTATTCTCTAATTTGCCATTCCCCTCTACCATTTTGTAGCATTCAATAGCAGAAAACTCGAACGGTCCAACTCAAGCTGTCATGCCACGTTCGGGGCTCTGTTTTGCGGGGAAAACCCGCAGTCCCTGACTCGACTTTCTCTTACTTTTGCGCCCCTTAATTCTTCTTGAATCTACTGACAACTAATCTTATACTTTCTTCGACCCCACGAGCCTCTCTCTCTCTCTCGACTCACCATTTACTCAGTCTAATCAGAAATATCCGGCTCTTCCCTGTGGGCTCTAGGCCTGGCCTCGATTCGCTACCGGCCATGGCGAGTAATGATAAGGGACACCCCACAACTGGGACTCTTGCGAAGCAGCTTCGACATCGCATGAAGACCGCGACTCCCCGCGGCGAAAAGGCAATGTCTACGTTATCAGATCGTGTGGGTAAACGTGGCTGGACAAGAAAAGTGGGTATGTCGACATAGCCCCATCGCGTCCACTGCTTAACTTTCTTAAGGCTTGCCTTGAGTGCCATCGCAGAAAAATAAAATGTGACATGACTACAAAGAGTAGATGCACTTCTTGTGAAAGGCTCGATGTCCCCTGTTCGGTCAATGAATACCGTCGTCGTCGCAATAAAGAGAAGTCAGTATTCCATCACGTGTCTTGATGATCACTTACAAACACTCTTATTAGGAGAAGCAAGATCGACGAACTTGAATCGAATATCGAGCGGATGGAGAATGTTTTTGAAAAGCTGGGCTTGATGCGACCGGTTGATGACCTTCCTAGAACTCCTGTGTCATATTCCCAGTCTTATCCTTCCTGGAACATATCGGAGGCCCAAGCATGGGACACTATCAGCGAGTCAGGATCGGATCATTCAAACCATCCTACAAATGATCCATCTATGCATCCGCCTGCTAGTTTGGTTGATAGCAAGGCGTCTTCCGGAATGGAAGGCGACAGCGATGTCTTTTTGCAAAATTTGGCATGTCCAAGCATCCTGGTGGACCTCACAAAAGACAGGGGGGTCAATCGAAGATCTGAACATGGAGAAAATCAGCACCAGGCCAAGGACAATTCAAGAAATCTTGACCTCCACAATTCAAATTCGATGTCTTCTCTTCCAGTTCTGGATCAAGACGAACCGTTTGACGGCACATCTACCCCAAAGACATTCTATCCTCTGCCGGGTATTGCTGAAACCATGGTGCTTTTCCTCGAGTTTCTCGAAAATTTCAATACCATTTGTCCCCTATTCCAGCCGGTCTCACTACTATCAATCTGCGACGAGGACAGCAGCATAAACCCCGACCAAGCAGATCGCTGGGCGTGTATAAATGTTGTTTTAGCGTTGGCGCATACTATGCGCTCAAGAGCGTCCGATGTGGCGCATTCCAACCATCAAATCAGTTGGATGTTCATGAAAAATGCTTTGCAAGTGGCGAAAAGTTTGTGCAATAGCCCTCCAACTCTCTGGGCAGCCCAAGCCCTTCTTGGAATCGTAAGCTTGCCAACCTTAACCTTCAAATTGAACAACCTAATTCCTGTTTTAGACCGTCTTTTTACTTGGCACATTGAATGACAAGCCATGCGATCTTTTCGTCACATCGGCGCTCCGGATCACTCACGATCTTTTATTGGGGGGTCACCGCCAAGGCAACCCCCTTGCCTGCGAGGATAATCAAATTGAACACTGCCGTATGGTCTTCTGGATCGGGTACTGTTTAGATCGAGAGTATGTTTCCAGGTCATATAGCTACAATTATATCTTATCTCTAACAGTTTTTAGTATTTCCTTGCGGTTTGGTAGATCTCTAGGGCGGACTGACGAATATATCGATATCGAGTTCTCGCCCGGCCTATCATCGCATCATTATACCGTACCATCGGACCAAGAACAAATCGATTTCGACGTTTTCAGATCTTACTGCGAGCTTTCGGTCATAAAGGGCCACGTTTACAAACTTTTATGCTCAGCGACAGCGCCTAAACAATCAACATCAGGTCTTGCCGACTTGGTGGCTAGGTTGGACGAAAAGCTTCGAGGCTGGAAAGCGAGTGTTCCCAAAACATTCCGTCCTGACGTTCAGGATACGGCTTCATTTCCCAAATCAAAGGCATCCGTACTTCTTCTCAGTCTTCACTTCTCATATTTCAACTGTTTGTTATCAGTTCATCAAGCGCTCAATTCACACGGTTCGGGTATATATATGGAACTCGCTAAAACATACAGCTCCGGAATGCTATCTGAAGATATCGCCCACTTTTCTGCGATTCTATGTCAAAATGCAGCCAGGGCATCGATAAAGCTGGTGAAACATATGCCCGCACAGAATCCGTCTATGGTCGGGTAGGTCAATTTCAAAATTCGCTTAGCCAACGTTGATATGTCAACTATCTAACAAATTTGATAGAAATCTTCTTCACTATCTCGTTGTAGCGACCGAGATGCTTACAAAACAAATAATAATAAATCCAACATCTGGGGCATGTGATATCTACATGATTGCCCAGGTCGAACGCTTTCTATCATCTGTCGTACTTACCGCACCGAATGAAGGAATGCGCAGAGTGGTTGAACATTGTGCCGAGCAACGTTTACTAGCCGAGTCAGCAGTCAATCGAGTGGATGCTCAAGTTGCATTTCAACTTGAAGTTAGTTAGTAGTACAATGGATGGGTGCATTGACCCTGGGTTTCGAGTTCCTGGAGCCTTGGGAGGTTTAAATCTGATGTCTCCACCTGGGCAGCTACCACCTGGGCAGAAATATATAATGCTGCATCGTCTCAATGCCACCTACCTCCGTAGTATTAGGTACAACTTGAATTTTACCTACTAGTATTACGGTATGACCATGGACCTCGGGAATTTGATAGGATTTCTGCCTTGACAATAATAAGCCCCGAAGCCAGAACCCGAGTCATCGATTAATACCCGTAGGTAGTACTTCAAATTTAAAATGAAATCATATTCGTCATCAGTTCATGATATAATTCATTCGATAGTTCTATTGGATCAAACGTGATTCTATTGTAGCACCAGACCCTACACTGACTTGAAAATGCTAATATGCCACTGCTCAGGAAGACCCAACTTGATACACCAGTTTGCTAGCTCGGATTTTGCCTTCTCGTAGCAGTTGAAGCCCGGCCAAGGCCCCCTCCAAGCCGCCGGGCTTGACCTGGTACGGGTGGGGCTGGATTCTGCGATCCTCAAGGAGCTTCTGCACAATGTTCCACCACTTAATTCCAAATTCAGGGTTACTGCCATCGGGTGTGATTTCCTGCGCACTCATGCGGTAGGGGTCGCCCAACACATCATATGCCATTGAGACATGGGAATCAACATCATCTCGAGCAGATTTAACATCAAGAAGGGCGTTGTAGGATCCTCCCGCAGATGAGATTGCAGCACTGCAGATCGCCGCTGATTGAGGAGTCGAGATAGTGTCTAGCACAAATTCAAGAGCATCGTCGGTATCCTCCTTGATCTGCTCGCCGACTTGTGGATCATGGTAATCAAAGACTGCGTGTGCGCCAAGTTCAAACATCAAGCTGCGGTTTGCTTCAGAGCATGTTGTTACTACTCGGAGTCCGGACAATCTGGCTAACTGGATTGCAAGAGTGCCGGTGGCGGTTGCGCCTCCATAAATGAGAATATTCATTTCATCCTCTTCGCTTTCCTCGCCCGGATAGGGCAATTCCATGCTTTGGTAAAGATTTTGACCGACAGTTGTCAATCCAACGCCGAATGTAGCTGCAGCCTCGAAGGTCATGCTATTGGGTATGCGAGTTTGCAGGTCTCCCTTGGCAATCACGTACTCAGCAAATGCACCGCCATTGTGACGAACTGCATTGCTGCCATGCACAAATCCTGCCACTCGGTCGCCTTTTTGAAATGGCTTTGTAACCTTAGAGCCAACTGCCTCTACCACGCCAGCGTAGTCACAACCCACAGTAGCTCCATTGCAGGAAACATAATCGATGTGACGCCAATCCGTGGGGTTCAGAGCCACTGGGCCATATCTTAGTCAATTAGTCCGCACATGACGTAAGGGACAAGGAAATGTAGTGTGACAATTTAGCATACCTGCTTTTGTTTTGACGAGAATATAGTCTTCTGGGACCTCAGGAATAGCAACATCTCGGCACAGTGCGGCGCGGCCTGGCTCTTGGACGACGATGGCGCTCTGGGTAGCCATCTTCAAAATGGCGACCTGATGTGGGGGAGGAAAGACGGTGAAGGAAGGCCAGAAAATCGTAATTCGGAACCTCCGAGGTAAATCTTGTCGATAGCAGATTCCAGCTGGGGAAAGCTACAACCATTTGGTTAGGGAATGGCTGTGGGGTGAGTTGAATATTTTAGCGTCGTGAAATCCTGATAAATGCTTGGTGGAGGCGGACAATTCCATAAAGGAGCTTATACGTCAGATCAAAAGAAACTATCAAATACTATTCACCTAGCGTAAGCTCTGACTCCAGTGAGACAGTGGGAGTGGAGCAGAAGGGTGGGCATCGGGGATGTGGGGGCGAGGGACAGCCCCTGAGTTTGCATCGTGAAGGAATAAAAAATAACATTGCGGATAGGAGTTTGTAGCGTTTAGGTAGCGTTTAGAGTGTCAGGGTTCAGAGGCCCCAAATAAACAGGGAATGTGGCTTCGATGCTCCCATCTGCGGAGGGATCACAAATTTAGTGATGGTAATAACTGATAGTACGTACTAGTGCCAACACAACCACATGTGTCTCCGAAAGGACAACCTTTTTCAGTTAGTAATACTAATTCCACCCAGTCACGATGCTTTCTCGTCATGCCACCATCTTGAGCAGCCCAGAAATTGTTGAACCGGAGGGCCGGAGGGGGACAGCCAAGCGAGACCAGAGTACTTTCTCCACTGCGGGAACGCAAGTTCGGGATCTTCTCACCCACGATCACATCTCGCGGATGTTTGGCGCGCGTGGACTGCCAAGGCGGTCGAGTGGACTTTAGGTTAACAATTGCGCATAAGCCCTCTGCGGGCCGGTGGAGCATGCACTGAAGATCGTTTCCTGCATGTGTAATGAGGACTCTGTAATACAAAAACAAAGTCCGGTATTGGGGTTTCATGGTCCCTGCGGTCATCGCGAGATTCTTTCCCCTCAAGATGGTGAGTATGACTGCATGGGAGATCAGAGTGTGTGGGTCACGATGCAGACAGTTGTTGGGGTGGCACGCGAAATTGCATCGCATGCATGATCATGATATCAAATTGCCCCTCACTCCTCGCGTCTTGAAGATTTTGGCGGGAATGAAGATCTGGTTCGTGGATCTCGGGCTCCGCTCAAAGGAACTTCTTCCATGATTTGCTAGGGGGAACCTCAGCTACACATGCCAGGAAATCAAGGTTGTGTACTCTGTAGTCCGGAGCCGACTTTACTTCAGATCCATCCAATGTAGGATGCATGCACGTTCTTCTCCAAGAGGTTAGCACTCCTACCATTTCAGGGGCCAGTAGATGATCGATCGGCAAGGGTATTTTTTTTTTAATATTACACTGCCATAGCTAGGCGGCCGTCTACAGGAGATGTAGCGTGAACCTACCGGATATCTAGCCCTTTTCACTAATCCTCGGTGCTCCACAAGGCTTTCCCAAGACGATGGATGGCCAGTGAACGACGCGTGTGATAGCCAGCCTTCCCATACCTTGACACCGACCTTCCAGGGTCCACATCTCCATCTTAGTTGTCTGCCAGAACGATGGGGACTTCCCGATCCCGGAAGTCACTCGCCGAGTATAATTAATACCCCACAGCAGCCCGTCTCTTGGACCTTTTCTTTTGACCTTTGCAAAGCAACTTGTTTTCAGCCCCTTTAATAATAATAATTCCAAGATGCCTGGAATACCGACCGCGAAGGTCACTGACCCAGAGATGGAGTCAATCGCGGTCATTGGAATTGGGTGTCGATTTTCAGGAGGTGCGACGTCAGTGGAGGATTTCTGGCAGATGCTATGCGAGGGGCGAACTGGACACGGAAAGATTCCCTCCAGTCGTTATGAAGCGTCCGCCTTTCATCACCCGACTCATGAACGAAAAGGCGCGGTATGGAGTTTCCAATCAACACGTGGATTTTGAAATCGACTGAACTGACGCGTGCGACGAATAGATCAACCATGATAGTGGTTTCTTTTTGCAAGAAGACCCGGCGCGCTTTGACGCGCCGTTCTTCTCGATCACTGCTAAGGAGGCGGCGGGAATGGACCCTGCGCAGCGACTTTTGCTCGAGGTCGCCTATGAAACCTTTGAAAATGGTGTGTTCAGGGTTTTTTATTAAGAGAAAAAATGGCATTGTCAGCTAATCAAAAATCACAGGTGGAATTCCCATTGACACACTTCCAGGGAGTGATACGGCTGTATACTCCGGCTCAATGACCAATGATTATGAGTTATTGTCAACCAGGGACATTTATGATATGCCCCACAACTCAGCCACTGGAAATGGCAGAACTATGTTGGCCAACCGGTTGTCATGGTTTTTCGATCTCCAGGGCCCGAGTATTATGATGGATACCGCGTGTTCTTCAAGTCTTACTGCAGTTCACCTGGCTACCCAGGCCTTGCGCTCCGGCGAGTGCGGAATGGTAAGTCCCACCATCTACCAGGCAAATCTTTATTCTACGGATACTAAATATTGCGATGACAGGCCCTTGTGACAGGAGCTAGTCTCATTTTACACCCTAATTTTACACAGAGACTTTCATATATGCACATGATGAGCCCTGATGGTCTTAGCCACTCCTTTGACGAGTCCGCAAACGGATATGGTCGAGGAGAAGGTTTTGGTGCAGTGCTTTTGAAGCCTCTCTCAGCTGCTATGGCTGATGGAGATAATATCCGAGCCATCATCCGGGGCACCGGAATTAACCAGGACGGTCGCACCCCTGGAATCACCCTACCAAGCCCGACATCTCAAGCGAACTTGATTCGGTCTACCTATGAACGGCATGGCCTTTCAATGAGAGATACGGCTTACTTTGAAGCACATGGAACCGGTACCCCTGTCGGTGTAAGTTGGAACAGAATTCTGATGCCCCAAGTCAAGGAAAAGTACGATCTTCTAACACAAACCAACAGGACCCTATAGAATTATCTGCTGTCGGGATGACGCTTGGTCAGGCTCGAACTGAGACCGACGAGCCGATATATGTGGGCTCCGTGAAGACCAATCTTGGTCACACTGAAGGCGCCGCTGGTGTCGCTAGTCTAATTAAGGTCATCCTATGTCTGGAGAAGGGTACATTGGTACCGAATGCCGGATTCAAAAATATCAACCCCAAAATCCGCTTAGAGCAATGGAGACTGCGCCTTAGCGACAAGACGATGCCATGGCCTGATCATCTGCCCCAGCGGGCAAGTATCAACTCATTCGGATTTGGTGGCTCAAACGCACATCTTATATTAGAAAGCACCAAAGAGTTTTTCAAGGGAGATGGCGAGGACAAGGACCCCCTCCCTCATATCGTGGTATTCTCGACCTTTGATCAATCAGGAATTGAGCGACTTGGCGAAAATTGGAGCAAATATCTTCTCCGGCAACAAAAAGCTGAGCAAGACATGCCGTTAAAGGACCTCGCTCATACAATGTTGACGCGCCGTTCGCAATTGGGCTTCCGCAGTTTTGCCGTCGCCAACTCTCTCGGTCAGCTGCAGACCAGTCTTGAGAAAGGACTGCCAAAATTTGCCCGCGCCAGCCGCAAAGCCCAAAGTAAACTTGCCTGGGTTTTTACCGGCCAAGGTGGCCAGTGGCCTGGCATGGGTAAAGAGTTGTTGAGGGTACCAGTGTTCAAGGAGAGCATTGCTCGGTCACAAGAAATCCTCACATCGATGGGTTGCCCTTTCGATATCGTCCAAGAGATCCGCTTGGTTGCAAAGGAGAGCCAGATGAACAGACCCGATCGCAGCCAACCTATTACATGTGCCCTGCAGATTGGATTGGTCGATCTTCTCACAAGCTGGTCCGTTCGCCCTCAGGCCGTCGTTGGTCACTCCAGTGGCGAGATCGCTGGTGCGTACGCAGCAGGATATCTTTCCCATGAGGACGCCATGCGAGTGGCCTGGTTCCGTGGTTTCTTCTCCCAGCAGGCTGCCGAGAGTGATCGACGTGGAGGTATGCTGGCAGCTGGACTCTCAGCAGAAGGCGCCAAGAAGTATCTGGATGAGCTGCCTCCTCGTTCGGTAGTTGTTGCTTGTGTCAATAGTCCTGTCAGCGTGACCCTCTCTGGCGATGTGGACCAGATTGATAAGCTCGAGGCAAAAATTCAAGCAGATGGTGTCTTCGCTCGCAAGCTACGCATCGACACTGCTTATCACTCACCTCATATGGAGGATCTGGTCGAGGTCGTTGGAAATGCAATTGCCTGTATCAAGCCAGAAGATCGATTTGATGGGTCAATTCCCATGCTATCGTCTGTCACGAAAGAGCGTGTTTACCCTGCAGAGCTGGGTGGGCCGTACTGGGTGAGAAACATGATCAGCTCAGTTGAGTTTACTGCTGCTGTGACGCAGCTTTCGAAGTTGAGCGAGTCTATCAAGGGTCGTCGTCGCCCAGTCCCAATCAAGTGGACAGCCTTGCTAGAAATTGGTCCTCACTCTGTCATGAAGGGGCCAGTTTCTCAAATTCTGCAAGCTGTCAGTCCAAGCATGGTATCGCTGCCATATCATTCACTGGTCTCACGCAACCAAAATTCCCTGCGGACTTCACTCGAAGTGGCTGGTATTCTATGGAGTACAGGTCACGCGGTCGACCTCGCTGCAGTGAATAGCTGTGTCGACTCCAACCCTCCAGCAATGGTTTCTGATCTGCCTTCCTACCCCTGGAACCACCAGACATCCTTTTGGCACGAGCCTCTCGAGACTGCTCAGCTGAGACAGCGCAAGCACCCGCGCCACGATATCCTGGGAGCACCTCTTGACTACCAAAATGCTCTCGAGCCTCGATGGAGGAATTTCCTCCGCCTCTCGGAGAATCCGTGGATGTCGGACCATGTCGTTGCTGGGTCCATCATGTTTCCCGCCGCTGGAATGCTTGTGATGGTCACAGAAGCAGCCCGACAAATGGCCGAGAACCAGGCCAACATCAAGGGAATCGAGTTCCAGGATGTTCACTTCATGCGTGGTGTGGTAATTCCAGATGACGAGAGAGGTCTCGAGACTGTCCTCCAAGTCTCGCCTCATCCAGGAATGCCTGGCTGGTATGAATTTGGAATTTTCTCACTTCCGTCAGGTGGTGGTTGGATCCAGCATTCAAAGGGAGCTTTTGCGACCAGATATGAAGATCGCGATAGTGTTCAGTGTGCAGACAACTGGGCTGCTGCGGTCGCTCGCATCAAAGATACCCAGAATGTCGCTCAGCCGGGCGACATGAGCCAGGCATATCAATGGCTCTCGCAGACTGGAGGACTCACAGTTGGCCCTGCTTTCCAAGCAATGACCGACGTCTCATTCTGCGACTCTGCACCGCGTATCTGGGTATCTGGTTCAGTGACCGATACAAAGTCTGGCATGCCTTCCGAAAAAGAATCTACGAGTTTCATTCACCCCACCACTCTTGATTCTCTCTTCCAGAGTGCCCTTCTGTCATGCTCTGAGGCCCTCTCGAATAACAATGCCTACATCCCCGTTGGAGTGGACCATGCCTACATCTCCGTAGGATTCCACCCTCAAGCGGGTGAAAAGTTTGTGATCCACACGGAAACTCAGTATCGGGATGGAAAGTCACGGTCGCAATGTATCGCGTCGGATACCTTTTTGTCTCAGCCTTGGGTGACTTTTGAAGGCGTCCGGCTTGGGCGACTTCCTTTCAACCCTAACTCTCAGAAGCAACAGGATATCAACTCGGAGAGCCGCTACTCTTCGATCGTTTGGGGGGAGCATCTCGAGTCCCCACTCGCCACGGCCTTGACTCATGCAGAGAACAAGAAGGGGGCGGCCGTCGAAAACGGCCTGCTGCAGCCCAGTGACTGGATGAAGCGCTTGTGCCATACCAATGGAGACGCTAGAGCGCTCATTGCCACTACCACCACATCCAGTCCTTGGATCCAAAGCCTGCAAGCCTTCACTCCAAGTAAAGGAATTCGACCTTGCTGGAGCAAAGCCACCATTGCCCTATGCGGTGGTGATGACGAGCTGAAGGAGAAGATATCTGGGGAGAATGTTGGAACTCAAGTGACATCTCTCTCTGCTATTGACGATCTCGCATCATCCTTCTCGGAGGCAACTTACGACTTGATTGTTATTGATGAGCCACACATTTGGGGCGGCAAAACCACCAATGCCGTTGTTTCTTCTTTGCCCACAATCCTTGATCAAGGTGGCTTCGCAGCAATCAGGGTGTCGGAAAAGAACTTTGATCTTGCCGTTGAGACTCTACAGCGCTTTGTCGGTCTAGAAATTTATGATTTGACTGCAGACCGCGGCTTCATCATCGCTCGCAAGACACCGGAGGTTTGGACTACCGACCCTGAGATCTTTGTTCTGGGCGGAAAGGAAAATTCGGAATCGCAGGCCATCTTTGATTCTCTCGCCAAGATCTTCACCACTCGTGGTGCTCGACTCGTACCAACTGGATTGGATGAGGCTGCTTCGCTGGCAGGCAAAACTGTCATTTCGTTGCTCGATCTGGAAAGTTCCTGGATTTCTGACTGGAAAGAAAGTGATTTGAAGAGCCTCCAGAGTCTCATCAAAACCCAGAACCTTCTATGGGTCTCACCCTTCTGGGGCCAAGGGCCGATCGAGAATGCTGGAAATGGTGCCATGGGCGGTCTTTTGCGAACACTACGCAATGAACACTGGAACACCACTCTTCCCCAACTGCTTGTCGATGAGCATGATTTGAAGAATGTCACCCAGCTAGCCTCCACAGTCCTCCATGTACTCCAATTGACCACTCAAACGTCCACGCGCCGATCGGACTTGGAATTCAGACTTTCCAATGGCAAGCTGCTTGTTCCACGAGTTGTCGAAACACCTGCTGTGGACGAGGCTATGCAGACCTTGATGCATGGCCCTAGGCCAGTTCCTTCCGAGCTTGCGCAGGATCCCAGACATCTCCAATTGAAGTACCAAGATGCGAACACATTCCACTGGGAGGAGAAGCCAGATGTCGTTGCAGAGCTTCCTCAAGATCAAGCCGAGATCAAGGTTGAAATGGCCTCGTTGTCCAACTTGAATGGCGAAACCGGCAAAACCCCAGACACCGTTCTCCCAATGTTTGAGATTATCGGCAAGGTTACTCGCATTGGTTCCAGTGTGCGAGACCTTGACGTCGGCGACAAAGTGCTGACCCTGGCTTCGCAAGCATCGCCACTTGCAACAACAATGTGCCTTCCCGAGAGCGAGACGGTTAGAATCCATGCCAATATGAGCCCAGAAAAGGTCATTTCTACTCCGCTTGCATATCTCAACGCGCATCAAATCATCACCAAGGTCGGTCGTCTCGGCTCGAACGATTCCATCCTGCTTGTTGGCCCCATTAGTCAGACTCTGCGATCAATGATTGACTACTCCCTTGCCTTGGATATGCAAGTCATTGTGGCTACCGACTCTCAAGACACAATCGACAATCTGGCTTCCCGCTATCCGACTCTCAAGGACCGTGTTCTGAGCGTTCACAGCAGTCTAGAGACCAGCGTTTCCAGACTAACCAATGGAAGTGGAATTGATGCTAGTGTGTGCTTCATGGGGGGTTATCCTGGCCGAGTTGCAGCAAGATGCCTTTCTTCTGGTGGGCAGTACATCAACCTATCCAGCGACATGAAGCTCAGCGCGCTGCCTGAAAGCTTTATTGACAGCGGCTGTACATTCTCTTCACCTCAACTTCAAAAGACATTCTCGGAGAAGCCCGGAAATCTCCATTCTTCTCTTCGTCATGTCATTGACTTCATGAAAAAGCATCAACTGCTGGAGCGAGTTGAGCCCTACCGTGCATTCTCTATATCCGATCTCCAGACTGCTCTCAAGCACTGCCAGGGTAACAACACTCGTGCTATACTCGACGTGCAGGCACCTGGAAAGGTTCCAATTGTTCTCCCACTGCCTGATCTTACCAGATTGCCTGCTCAAAACACATATATCCTGGCCGGTGGTCTGGGCAACTTAGGACTGGCATTTGCTGAGACTCTAGTTGAATCTGGGGCTCGGCATCTGGTATTTCTCGGACGATCTGGCGTGGCGCAACGCGGCCAACAACTATCCTCGATCTACTCCGTGATCAAGGCTGCCGTGTCGACATAGTGAAATGCGATATTTCCCGACCCGAAGACATCGAGCATCTCGCTTTCAAGATTCGAAGCATGAAGTGGAATGTTGCAGGCGTTATACAATGCACGACAGTTCTCAAGGTAAGACCCATTCACTGCATCCACCATCTACGATCACCTAACTAACATTCACCTCCCAGGATGCAATGTTCGAGAACATGACATTTGATGACTGGCAGAAGTCTACTGATCCAAAGATCCGTGGCACACTGAATTTGCACAATCTCTTCTCGGAGGATGACTTGGCTTTCTTCGTGGGCTTGTCCTCCGTGGCAAGTGTCATTGGTAATATGGGACAGACTAACTACTCTGCTGGAAATGGGTTTATCGACGGTCTCATGGAGTGGCGTCGTGCCAATGGCCTTTCTGGCGTGTCCATCAACATTGGTCTTGTTCCAGATGCCAGTGGTCTGAGTGATGTTGCTGAGGATCAAGAACAACGTCGCCGCCGATACAAGCATCTGGAAGGAACTGAAATTATGACCCATGAACTCCAGACCTTGCTTCGGGTGGTCATCAACAGCAAGATCTCGCTGCCGCCTCAGATTGTTGCTGGCATGACTGACAATTTGTCTCGCAAGACTCCTCCGGCAGACTGGCTGTTCGACCGCAAATTCGACCACCGTCTGTCTCTTGCCGTCGAGGAGGAGGACGAGTCCGCCGTTTCTACTGCTAGCCTGCTAAAACAGGCTGATTCTCCCGAGACAGCCACTCAGATCGTCGTCGACGTGCTGAGTGAATACCTGGCAAACGAAATGGCTACAACTGCCGATGCTATCGATATGGATCTTCCCTTGTCCGCATTGGGAGGTAAGTGATTCACTCATTGGCTCAATCATTTCTATGGCTTATAATGCTGACAATTCTCTTTAGTTGATTCTCTCAAAGCCACAGCAGTTCAAAATTGGGTCTCCCGCGAGTTGGGCGCCGAGCTGACCTCCTTCGAGTTCCTTGGTTCTCAGCCCACCAAGGCCCTAGCGAAGAAGATCGCTGACGCTAGCTCATTCGTTCCGGCTTCAAACTAGATATGCATGAATCAGATTTTGGGCATGGCGTTATTTTGAGGCAAATTGTCGGCCTTGTTCGGGGCAAGGGATGTTGGAATGTGGAGACCGCTGGATGGAATCCTCTGCTACTCTGACTTGGAGTTCATGTGAATATTCTTGTGGTGTATGGGTTCTATGTACACACGCGCTTCTTGTTTTATGTTTTCCTCCCGTTATTTGAAGGGACTCTAATCAATCCATACCAATTTACTCCGTTACCTTAATATCCTCCAACGCCACGAGGCCAAGTAATTCGCCCAAAGTAGTGCCAGTGAGACTCTGCAGTGTAATTTACTTACAATACTGTGTCTTGAAATGTTTCGATACTTTCAACAATGTATAGTCGTGAATACAACAAGCTCCACTTAATCGAGCGCCTATCGCCAGCCACGACGGTGGCGCCGGTGGGTCTCGGACACCACCCGTCCCCTTCCCCTGTCTCCCAGATCCTTCTCCCCTCGATTTCGAAGGGTTTGAGATCATTTCCCTTAGCTGCATAGTTAGCTGGAGGAATGCAATAATTCGAAATCCTTCACCTTCGCACGAGACACTAAGTGGCACTCATGTACGGGGAGGAAGGTCGGTCACGAAAAGATCTCCTTTAGCCCGTGGCTCCACTCCATCAAGGGGGTTTGCGTTGCAGGCGGGTCCCCGCAGCTTGCAGACAAAGGTTTCTGCACCGTGAAGATGGGACCCAGATCGACGAGACTGCGATCTAGGCGATCAGATCAACATGGTGACAGAACTTTTCATGCCGAGGTGACAGTCCGCTGCGGAGCAAGCTAGCATACGCCAAGTCTCATCAGAATCCTTCGACTCCAAATCGGTAAACAAATGAGATACGGGAATCCGTCCGGAGTACGGAGTACGACCTGCCACGTTTCGTACTTTGGTCCCCGGTAAACATCACATTCGCATATGTAAGTTACAGCAGCGGCTTTTCACATCAGCCGGACTCCGTATGCATGCATGGCACAAACGTGAGCGCGTGAAGCAAGGATTTCCTCTTTTTTTTGCAATCTGAATCGGGAGTGTACTAGTATGTAGTAAGGTTGTTTTAAGCGACCTATCGGGACCTGTTGGTGCTCCGTCTGAACTAGTGAGTTTCCGCTTCTTCCCGCCATTGCCTCTCTTTTCTTTTCTTCGAATCTTCACCGCCACTATAACCTAATCGGCCATAAGAAAGACCATGAGTTCGTGTGTGTGTGGATTGTGATGATGGGTACACTAACTATCAGCAAGACATTCGTGTTTTCTTTTGATCCAGCTTGTCCCACCGCGGGGCGGCCGAGGCTCTCCGAACGTGGACTCATTCCCACAGAACCCTAAAGAGGGCTTGGGTAACCTAAGTGGGCAACTAAAGTGGCCCTGATTTCCACATGAGGGGCACGCTACTCTGTGTAGATCACAGACTGGACCTTGGTCGAATGTCCCGGGGCAATGGCGTCGGTGTTTGGATCAGCAAGGTGCTTCATTGGCGCTGCTCCAATCTGTATTGGAAATCATCTGGCTGTGGGTGATGCATATCACTACCCCAATTGTGCTGCCACCATCTTTCAGATCCCCACTTGCGATGGGTAAACCGGGAACTATGGGGCATTCGTGAGAGACTTTCCATGAAATCCCTTTTCCGTAGACTTTTTCCCTCCACCAGCCAGCCTCAACGCAGACTGCGTGCCCTCTTCTGGTCCCCCGCAAGATAAACTATTTGTTTCTGCCTTTGGGACGTGATCCGCTTGATCCCATTCTTCTTCCTATACTCACCCCCTATCTGCCATGTCGGACGCAGAAAGGAAAGAATTGGGCCTCCCGAAACGCCCTGCAAGGGCGGCCCACAATCGGTTTAACTCTGACAATACTATTTTCGAGCTCTACTTCTCTAAAAAGCCCCAAGCAGAAAATGAGAAGACAGCTGCTCTGGAAGATGATCTTGAGGCCCAGGCTCCTCAGCCGAAGCGCAAGGCGTTTTCCCATTTGAGATACAACGTCTTGACAGTCTATCGACGTCTGTTCGGTCTTGTTTTCTTCGCCAATCTGGCTGTGTTCCTATGGGTTATGATCTCAAATCGCCAATTATTGGCCCTTGTCGATGCAACGGCTGTCAATCTGGTGGCTTGCGGTCTGGCACGACACCCAATGGTCGTCAATGCCATCTATAGAATTGTGTGTTCTGTTCCTAGATCTTGGCCCCTTTGGATCCGCCGCAGAGCTGCAAATGCTGCCCACTACGGAGGTGTTCACAGCGGCTGTGGAACGGCATCTTTAGTATGGTACATTGGATTCGTTGCGGTGGTGTCAAAAACCTATTGGACATCTTCCCCCATCAGTCCCGCCTCGGATCACGGTTTTTCGGCTGCGCCGATCGCTGTCTCATATATCATCCTTGCATTATTGGCGGTGATGGTCATTGTGGCATACCCCACCTTTCGCATGAAGATGCACGACTATTTTGAGCTCACTCACCGGTTCGCCTCATGGCTGGTTCTGGCTCTTTTCGTCGTTCTGGTGATGATCTTTGTCCACGAGGTTAGCAGAGCAGAGCTGGACTCATTCGGCCACTTCTTGATCACCCTTCCTGCTTTCTGGCTATTGCTTGCCGCCATCGTCGCTGTGGCCCATCCATGGATCTTGCTGCGAAAGGTCAAGGTGCAGACCGAGCCACTTTCTACCCATGCTACGCGTGTTCACTTTGATCACACCCCAATTGCATTTGCCAAGGGTATTCAAGTGACGAAACATCCTCTTCGTGATTGGCACAGTTTCGCTGGTTTCCCTGATCCAGCATCCTCTGACAATGTGGTCCAATCCGAGAAGCCTCAGGAGCCTGAAGAACCTCAGCAGCCTACAGAGCCTCGGCAGTCTGAAGAACCCCAGCAACCTAAAAGGATCGTGAAGCCCCACGGCCATGGTCACCGTCGGAGCTGGTCAATTGTGGTATCCAAGGCCGGTGACTGGACCTCCGACACCATCCAAAACCCGCCAGCGTACCTCTGGAAGCGTGCTGTGCTGATGCGTGGTGTCGGCTATGGAATGCGTGTCTTCAACCGCATCATCATTGTCACGACCGGATCTGGAATTGGACCCTGCCTCGGCTTCCTGGGTGATGAGAATCGACCTCTGATCAAGGTTATTTGGCAAACCCGAACCCCAGTCAAGACCTATGGTCAGGGTGTCATGGACCTTGTGCATCAAATGGGGCCCGATCCCATTATTTTCGATACCAGTCGTGATGGTCGTGTTGACATGCTTCCGACTGTACGCCAACAGGTGACTGAATTCGGCGCTGAGGCCGTCTTTGTGATCAGTAACCCTGCAATGACCAAAAAGGTTATTTACGAGTTTGAATCCCAGGGGATTCCGGCCTATGGGCCTATTTTCGATTCATGATGAATGATCCATGTCCAACGATATATGATATATTTCTGCGTGTCTCCGCTCTAGTATTTATACTAGCAGACCTGTCATCGTGTTCCAAATAATCTTAGTTCTTACCAAAAGTTTAGGTATATAATAATAAATTACAATCAATACTAATTCAAATCACATTTTGCTTTCTGCATGATACTTCAATAAACTTACCTATCCCCTACGACATGCATCAATATTTCGTCTTCGTGAACTTTCGTGTGAACTTTCGGCCCCTGAAAATCAACTAGTACTAGTAAGGCACGGGCTTCGCCGAGGCCCGGAATACCCGCACTGACTCGAACAAAAGTACCGCCACAAACCGTCATGTCGCAGCGTCGCAACCAAATATATTGTCAAATATAGTATTTATAAAATAATGAAATATTTGTTTCAAATGTATTCCTAAATGCTCTAACGTATGTCATGCGTGAGTGGATACTAGTTAGCTGGTAGTATGAAACACCGGTCTCAAACTTAGACCGTTTTGTCAACGTGCGACCGGTCAAAATCGCGACAGCGACGTGTTAAAGGGCATAAATACCGGCACGGGCCGTTGAAGTTCAGACTGTAATATCCACTGGCATCCGCTACTTCCCGTACCGAGATGCAGGACAAGATGAGACCCTGTACCCAGCCCCAGACCGATTTGGATGTAGTCAGGCGGATCGTGCGCAACGGGTGAACAAACGACAGCATAAACGACCTGGGGCAGTCGGCATGCAAGTGCCAGCAGTCTACCGGCTCGAGCCAAGCCCGGCTTGACTTAACTGGTGGCGTGCTAGAAAATTTAATCCGCTGGCGACAAAAGTCGCGCGTCCATAATGTGCCCGAGTGCATTTTCGGAACAGATCTCAGACATGTGTTCACGAAAGGATTGAGATTTTATTGGATAGGAAACGTGATACATAGCCCTCGGAAAGTGAGACTCACGCTCTGGTCAAAACAAGCTCGACTGATTGATAGATATGGACTGTGCCTTGAACTTTAATAATAATAACAATACGAAGTCAATAACCGACGCGTAAGTTTCACCGTATGTTGAACTTGAATGCCAGGAAGCTGGGAGCCAGATCGAAAATCCTAAACAAAGTTGAACCACCAGCATATCTCGAGTAATAAAGGCACACATCCATACTCACATGACTACATCTATCTATGATCTAATTTCACTTAGATCAAAAGGATCTCGAACGCCTGAAATTATTGATTTCTCGCCCTCTTGCTGGCCTCGCAAGATAGACACTTTTGAGATAATGTTGATCGTCATCCGCCCGTCACCATCGAGCGGCAATTGTCGACGTTCAGATCTCGTCTCAAACTTCTAGAGCCTGTTCACTACTGGCATGATCGCATTCTATAATGAAGTAGATGGTGATAAAGCCATCATTTCAAAACTCTCGCCACCCTGTGGGCCAATCGGGAATTCGATTTTCCGCCCAACGACGCATCCACAAAAAACCTAGAATCCCCACCTCTATCGTCTCTTTATCGGATTGTCTGTCAATTGACCATCTTCAGATCAAACTATATAATGGCCAAGTCCAAAGCAGCAAAGCGGAAGCGCAATGCGC